TTCGCAGCGTTGACTTTGGGAGAATATTATGAATTTCATAATTATAAAGCCGCAATTGCGGAGGAAATATTTGTAAAGCTCTTTCGGTATTGAATATTTTTCTATACAAACTTTAAATAGATTTTTACTTTAGAGGACACTTTCATGATTTAAAACGTAACGACATTACAATTTATTATATTATGTATATCTTAATTCTAACATCTTTCTTAGAAACAAGGTACCGGGTTCGTTTATCTAAGCTATTAAAACCTTCTTCTTCGCTTACGCTCTTCTTAACGACCGAAGACCTATTCACAACAGTAAGATTCAGAAGTTGAAATGATATGATTTTTATTAAAACACTTATAACGTTTAAATAAAACACTTGAATTGTTTAAAACGCGATATATTAGTTAAACTTATTTGAAAATGATTTTTAACTTCGGCCCGACGTTTCGGATGCTTTGCAGCAGCCGTGGTCAGGGGCGGGGAAACTCCCCGTGACCCATGACAACCGTTAAAGAGTTTTATTTAAATGTGTACTACTCCTAAACTTATATACACCACTTATAACAAACTTATAACGTTTAAAACGCGATGTATATAGCGATTATTAACTTTATTTTAGAGCCCTATACGCTTAGGAAATTAAATTTCAGCCGTTAAATACAGACAATACATACTTACATTAATATAAATAATCATCAAGTCAGTCAAGACCGTTTTCCCCAAAATGTGCATCCGTTTATAAGATCTTATCGTACCACTGACAGGCATTTTTCAAACGGACGTAAATGAACTATAATCTAGTCCCGCGAGGACCTTGATAAGGCGATAAGCTGTTGTTTTAGGAGCGACGAATGTTATACAGGTAAAAAATGTTTGCTTTTTAACGCGTGCATATGTTTGCTTTGTAATGTGGAAGTTCAAACTCGTTCGTTACACACGTTGCTTATCTTTGCCTGCATAGCGTAGGTTAAAGTAAACTAGCTTTGCCCGCGACTTTGTCCACGTGAAATGGTTATTTAGACCACCATATTACTTATTGTTTATTTTTATAAATAATAGCTGTTGTTACATACGACGTCGTCCGCTATAATTATTATGCATTATCAACATTATTATTGTGTTGCTGAAGTATGAAATGTGTTAGTGTCAGATTTCAATTTGCATGAATGCGATGGCAGGATGGGAGGCCCTCCGTGACCTCGGTTAATGAATTTTTTAAACCGTTAACTGTTTAAGCTTAATACTATATATATTTTGAGAAAGTAAATAAAACGTTAATTTATTATATAAAGTGTATTTAAATTGTAATTCAACAAATAGTTAAAGATTTTTCATTTATTAACATTTTGAATACTTTACAACATCTACTCAAAAATCTGTAGTTACTAACACTGTGAAATAATGAAATTTAATCTCCACGAAGGTTTAAGATTTACACGAGTATCGCATAACAGCGCCTATACATTACAGCATTAAAATTACGAAGGTAGTTCAACTTAATAGCTACCCCCACAAGTCTAGACTCTAGTTAGCGAGTTACGCTCCAATCTCTTTGCAAGTACATTTTTGCATAGCATTTACGTCCATGAAATGCACTCGCTTTGTACCGAGTCTCGAGATTACTACGGCCTACGAAGGATTAAAAAGAATTTCTTTTATAACAAGTCGTGAGTTTCAAGACAGCCCTTTAGCAAATAGTGGTTTTATGTAACGTGGATTTTAAATATGTATGCAAGAATATGCTGACGGTACTTCTGTTAGGGATATGCTGTAATATAATTACGTATATCGGAGTCGTGTAAATAGATTTTAAAGTTGATATTTAGAATTGCAAACCGCATGTTCTGAAAAAAAGTCTACTCAACCTTCAGTACTGTCCATAATTCCATTAGTCCCGTCAATTATCGTAAGACTGCAGGTAGTTGGATATTACATTAAAAAATATATTCTTATTCTTTTCTCTTGTACTTCAGGTTGCCTGAAAGAGATCGCTACTTAGCGATAAGGCCCCCTTTTATTTATAAGTTAATACGTAAGATTTTTCTTTCCTCATTTATATGTATTTTCTGTGGTATGTTTTATAAATAATAAAGCAATAATAAATAAATTTATGCATTTAGGAAAACTATTACACATCAATTAAAAATCTAATTGAAACCGCGCTACGTGACACGGTAGCTCAATTGGTTAGAGCAACAGCATGAAACGCTGTGGATGCCGGTTCAAGTCTTGTCCGTGTCGTGAAATTTTGTTCAATCTAAAAACGATTTTAATTTATGTAGCGCCACCTTTTAAAATACATTAACGTTTTCAAAAATTATTATTTCTTAAATACACATTATAATAAGATTCTTTTAATATTTAAGCTTAGAAAACTCATACTAGCCCCACTGACGTAACTTCGAAATGGTGTAGTCAAGGCTATTTGGAATATAAAATCAATTAAAGCAAAGCATTGGTGTCATTTCCGGCGATTCAACACTAGTTAGAAAAAAGATGGCGGTCAGTTAATGAACTATTAGTTAATGACAATTACTATTGTAATAGCGAAAACAAGTAAAAGAAATGACCCAAAGACCTAATTTGTCTATCTTATCAATGAAAGACAATATGATCAAGTAGAACTGATAAATATTCTGCAAGGCTTTGATTATTTTTATTATCTAAGTAAGTCAAAAGTGATAGGAAAAAATAATGTATGTTTTTAACTTTAAAAAAAAAAATAGGCTATAAATTGTTTTTATTTTTTATTTCGCGTTTTATACTGGGTATAAATGGGGTATAACAGATTTTTTATCCGTTCCTAAATATACCTAATAAAATATTACAGTTCTTTTTCTTCCCGAATTCGAATCCACACTCACGGCTAAATGCAATGAATATATTTAAAGATAATATAATTATGTTAAATGTAATATTATTCAATAATACACGTACCGCTTATACAACACGAAATATATTAGTAGGTCTTATTATGTTTTTTGTATAAAATACAACTCGATGTCGTAAATATTTTAAGCAGCCGTGGGTGACGGTGTGCATCGCGTTTTATTCAGTTAAAAGTATTTCTTATTTATATTACATTTTTAATTACAATAATAGTGTAATTTTTTGTATCTGTTAGGTAACTAATAAATAATACGCCGAGTAAGAATAATTTGTTTTGGATATTACAACTTTTACGTAATTAGATAAAAAAGCAATCAATAAACCGCATAATATTGCCTTCCAGTAATAGTAATAGTCATTTATTTAAAGGCAACAGACGTATGAATTTACTGTACTTTGGGACGGTTAGCCATGTATACACTAGCTCACACACAAAGCTATACTTACCATACAAACAAGATTCCCAGCTTCAGTTTGCGGTAACAATTTTACACACACATCACAAAGGATACACTAAACCCATCCCATACACAGCACAAACAGAAACTGTCTCTATACCATAGAAAACAGTTAAATTCCTTTTTAATAAACAACAGTTAAAATCAAAAAATCTGAGACGAGTACACTGTCCACAATCGATATTTTGTTTTTTCAAATATTTCGTTTAAGATTGAATTACGCTCCAACACTTCACTTTTTAGTGATAAAAGCCCAAGTTTGTCGTGCGGTTTGTTTTAATTTTAATTTAAATAAAATAAAACTTGTATATCTGTCAGTGTCCATTAACTGGGGATCGTAACGCGCCGCATGCGTACGACGACCGATAGCGCCACCTGTGCAAATCCAACTGACGACTTGACGAGTGACGGAATAACGGGCACTGAATTGCCAGCCTCTTCGACAAATTGCGCTTGACGTACGTTTCAGGGTTACCATATTCAAAATAAACAATCTCTCCACATTATTCAGAATTTAATTGTTAATAAACTGTGTAGAAAATGTATACTATAAAAAAAATACTGATGTTATAACAGACCTAGAAAATCAGATAATACAATTAGCCATATCGGGAACTATTAGTTCAAGTTGATTATTTTTTGTGTTGGTTAGACGTTATTTATGGAGGAAGGCTTTAAGCTATAAAACATCTCGCTGCATCAATGGAAGCGAAGAAAAAGTGGGAAATGTTGAACATACCGGGAAAATTATTCGGCTTTGAGAGTTTCCGTAGCGTGCGCTGCGAACACGGATAAAGATATCTAAAAAAATATGTGAAATATTTATTCCTCTTTAAGAGATTTAGAAAAAAGTCCACGACCGTATATGTCTAACTAGCTGTGCCCGCGTGAAAAAGTAACTTTTGGGTAGAACTTTTCAATTATTTAGGCTATTTATTTATTTATTTAAAACACATGTGTAAATACAATGTTTCACTGCAAAGGGCTTATTAAGGTATTCATATTAAGTATATCCATGGTAAAGTGTATTTTATATGCTTTTTTGGCATTAAAACGCCTTTTTCCTTTCTCAGGCTCTAGAATATCTGTGTACCAAATATCATTTAAATCGGTTCAGTACTTTCGGCGTGAAAGCCGGACAGATAGACAAGGTACTTTCGCATTTATAATATTAGTAGTGATATGATGCAAGAACGACGGAAAGCGAACGACATCGTGGGTACCGGCTGAAACTTATACTCATGAGGAGATTTGCAAAAACAAGTTTTGACGCCCAAAATAACTATTCTACGTAAATAAAGTTGCTGGCACAGCTAGTAAGGTTATATTTATATAGGTAATTTATGTATAATGTAGTTAATCCTCTTTAATAAACAACAAAATGTTGGCATTCACCGACCCGAGCCATCGAGATGACAACCAACACTCACAGCGAAATTCGAAAAGCGATTTGAAATAAAAAAGAAAAAAAAATGTTTATCATGTATCTTTCAAAAAAGTGGAAAATTTTGTTATCGTAGATTTAACTACCAATGTCTTTTAAATTGTTGGCATTTTTATTTACAATTTTACAGTTAGTTTGCCTGTTGAAAATTAGTGATTATTATATTAGTTTTTTTCTTATTCTAAAGACAATTAGTTGTATTTGAGATGTCACATTGAATGAGCTTCGAGGTGGATCGTTTTTCGCCGGCGTGGGCACACGTAGCCCTATGTGCTGATCTTACTTGGGCCTCGGAACCACCTGATGATTTCATCTTAGCAAACCAGGTACAATACGTACATTGTCAGCTTTTCATCCCAGTAAACGGTACTTCGTTAATGAATAGTTCCTAGATGTTGCCATGTTTTATAAATTTCCAACTCTATAAACAAGTTTAGCAAAACATACATGATAAATTATTCATATATTCCCTCTTGTGAATTAAATCTAAAGGGTTGGACATACATAATTATATTGGTTCTATTTTTAGCGCCTATTGGCACAACACTATCGTGTTTCCCAAATCTTGCAAGACACGACGACTGAATCTTCGCAAAATCAAACAAACCATTGTGATTTAGGGGGTAAGGTATTTAGTATTTTATGACGTATGTATCTAGAATACGTAAGGTAATCTACATAATATGTAGCTCTTGGATCTAACTTTTTGACTAAGATTTTTCCACAACAATATTCTTTTAACAAAGTGAATGTTTATTACATAATGTACATATAAAAATGACTAGTTATAACATACAGTAAAGGCTGGCTTGTATATTTATATTAGACCATAACTAAATAAGGTCTTTTTTAGAAAAACGCCTTGATAATGGTACCGCGAGCACTAGACGAGCCGTAAAGGATGTAATTCCTGAATCTAGGCTAGCGCAATTTTATGGAAACTTTTATTACGACGAACACAGGTGATAATTTTTTTATTATTTCGGGGAATACGCGACGAGTTTATAGATGCCTATAACCCTTTTTCTTAATTTGTGTTATATTGCCTCATCGACCTGTAATTTTAAAAATTAATGAATTCATGTTCTAGGCTTTTGTCTAACGATAGGTACTGCGATATTAGCTTTCAGAGTTAAAAACGGTAAGATATCTTTGTCCGTCTGTCTATCACCAGACTGTCAAGAACTGCGATACCTAGAGAGTAATTATCCCAAATTGTGTAAATCTATAGCCCCTCTATTACAAAAATAAAATAAATATAATTAACAAAGAGCAAAATAAAATAAATACTATACAAATGCGATTTTATTTTTACTCTATATGAATAATGGGATCATGGATTTTAAATATTACATTACCCAATTATATTTTTAATTTAGTGAAAAAATTCCGATATCAAAATATGACAACCGGCCATTTGGAATAACCAAAAAACTATATTATGTGTGTAAGATAGGACAGAGCCTAAGTTTATCTTTAACGTTTCAGAGAAAACTGTTATGTTAACCCAAACGAGATTAGGATTCGGCCATTTTGCTCTCAGGGCTGCGAGAACTCTGACGTCACCGAATGTTGGATGTTACCAGAGGCAAGTTGTTTTTTATGATAGATGAGGACAGACAAGCTTGGGGTCACTTGATGGTGGATGAAACACCCCATCCATACATCTTGACAAGAGCCACACATATAAAACTTAATAAATTGATTAGACAAATGGCGGACTCGGTGGGGATAAAACCCACGACCCGTTGCTTTTTAGCCACACATCGCTGCCATTACACCAACGAGCCCGTCATATGCACTTATCCACTTACGGTAATAAGACCGTGTCGATAATCAAAAAAGCGGTTAACAGCGCATCTTGCTTAGCTGTAATATGGCTGTGATATTTGACTTGTTTCGTTTTATAAAAGACATAAACAGGCCAAATATTGTCGCGATCCCGTCTATAATCTATTTAAATGTAAATAAGCATTGCGTAGACGTTTGAACATACACAGACGAGGTGTAACATTAATAAGATCGACCTACTTTTAGCTTATATATAGATATTCGTATATACGTTATTGCTTAGCAATTGGACTCTATATTCTTCAATATGACATAATTGCTCTCGTTTAAAAAACTATAAACAATTTCTCTACTTGTCATTTTCAGGTGGAATATTGGTTTCGGAAGCTGATGGAGGATCCAACTGAGAGAAACCTGCTGCCGCGCCGCCGCAGGCAATACCGTATACCGGCTAGTGACGATTTGTGCGTCATTTTTTATTTATCAGTATACATCAGTAGTATATTTGAAATGATTTTCTCTCTCTTCCTCCCCTCTGACTGCACACCAAAAGTGCTACTTTATATTATGTTGCTTTTCGTTATAGGCGCATGTGTGGTATAAGATTACCTATGGCTGTTTTGCTAAGCAAGTGGTTGAACTCTTATGTTTCCCCAAGATTCGAATCTAGACCTTCACGAATTTAATGCCAACCTAAGAACGCGTCCTAAACAAATTACGCGTAAATAAAGAATTTACTTCACTACGTCACCCCGTGACCACGACTGCTGCAAAGCGTAGTAAGAAAAAGAATTTTCAAACAAGTTTAACTAAAATATTCGCGTTTCACCGTTAAGTGTTTCATTTAAATGTGCACTACTTGCGTAGATCACAGACATTACTTACACTTATATAGCGTTGAATCAGTAGCGATGAGTTTGGTATGTCAATAACGATAACTAATGGACACCGATCGGCAGCTAGCGAGCGCTGGGGCCCGAGCGGGGCACGGACTTTAGAGGAGGCGACCTTGGAGGCGAAAGTTAGGAGTGTACGCCGGCTGTGGCAAGAGGACGTTCCGAGGTCAAGGGCACCGAGCCCGCCTCAGGTGACTAGGAAGATGCGCGCGAGACGACGGCAGCCAAGGCGTCTATCTGCACTCGCTCCACCACCGCCCTTATACTGCTTGGATGCTCCAGCGCAACTGGTCTGTGACCCGACTTGTAAGGTATGAAAATGAAAATACTGCTAATAGCAACACGGGTGTCAATTAGGCTTTGCCACTTTGTTTTTAGACCCATGATGTACCCAAATGAAATAGTGACTTGCCTGCGGTTGCTTATATGACATAGACAAAGCTTATTTTGAATAATAATTCACACAAAAAATAAGAAAAGCTACAATATATAATGTTAAGCCTTCAAAAATCGTTATAGGTCTAAAGCTCAAAAGTATATCTTTAGATTATTTTTCAGTTTCATTTTGAAACACCAAAACCCCCTCTGGCGGACTGTCAACGGGCAATTAGTCGATACTCTGCAAGTATGCAAGCATTGATGAGAGTCACAGCCGCCAGATGTCCCCTATATCGAGGGACTAATGTTAGCCGCTACGCCCCCACTGGTTCTCGACCTTTGAGATGCACGGAGAGACGTTGCAGCATCTGGTGGCCGAAAGACCACCATAATAGACCAGAGCAAAAATTCCCTAAACTAGAAATGAAGCCTCCTACACCGGAAAAAGAAGAATCACTGGAATTAGAAGTCAAAACAGAGTTGGACAACGAAAAGGGTGGTAAAGAAAATAAAGATGCAGACGGAACACAAGAAAGTTCAAAACAAAGAGAAATAGTGGTCGAAGATGATCAAATTGCATCAACGAGTTCTGCTGCTGTAGATAACGAAAGAAAGAAACGACTATACAGCACAGTACTAAGCATGAGCCCTCCACCGATCAACATAGCAGCCGGTTGCATCAGGTTGTCACAGAAGCTTGCACCAGGAATTTTGAAACTTAATCCAAAGGTAGTGTTACAAACCCGCCTGCGAACTTCGAATGTTGATAATAAATTTGAAGAGCTCGAGAAGGAAGCTTTGGAACAATACAAAGGCTCAGATGAAAGCATAGACTCAAAATTTCAAGAATTAGAAAAAGAGGCTGTTGAACAATATAGCACGAGTAACAGCAACACTAGTTGCAGTAGCGGAAATTCAGGAGAGAAAAATCTTAAGAGCGCAACAGAAGAAGCTAAGCAAGAGCTCCCAAAATTTAATAAAGAAAAATCCTTAGATAGCCTGGTAATATATTCGCAAAATTTTCCAGATCTTAACGCGAGGGGGCACAGCAGTGTAACCAATTTAAAAAACTCCCACGTCCCCCAGAGGGGGGACAAAAAAGAACAAAGCCACCGGCCTAGTAAGGCCTCTAGAAATATTAAGACTGATTCGCAAAGAGCTGGTTCAGATACAGACTACGAATCTAGGAATAACAAAGCCAATCACAAAGGTGCAATGCGATGGACCTTACACGTGATGCCACCCAAGAAAAGGCATCTTTCATCGTGCGTATCGGATTTTTCATCTGACGATGACATGGAAGAGCCGCCGGGCTCCATCAAAGATGGGCCCTGCATCAAAAACCATATATCTGGTAAAGTTAAAATGTCAGCCCATGGGGCAGGAGACTTGCAACCAATCATGAGAAAAACTTAACATAATCATGGATCTTAACCGTCTCAATTTGCCGGAAGTCGATAAGAAAATTTTCGTTTTTATCATTTACTTTTGGTGTTTATTGGCTTTTCGTAGTTGAGACCTTTTTTTAAATATTTTTACCGAGGTCAAGTGAGCCTATAACGATTTGAAGCGATCCATGTGATATAAAAATGTACTTCTACTAGTCATTAATAGTTTGTATATATTTTTATATTTGTCTTTACTTGATATTAAGAAAACAATTTCAGTTGATGAAAATGTTACACTGAAAATTGCTTAGATGTTTAGTCATGTGAAAAAAAATACATTTTATATGAATTTGTTATATTTGGTTTAAATTTTTGTTCCCAATGATCAACAATTTTTAACAATTGACAAAATAAATATATCCTTATATCTTTGAACACTGATAAAATTACCTTATATACTATCATATCTCATTCTCATCAAAACTCAAAAAAACTAAATGTAGGTCAACTTTCTTCAAGGAACTTTTCTAGATCAGTATTATCATCTTCTAATTCAATTTGTTCTAAGGCAGTAGCTAGCGCAAGAGGACTGGGACCTGTAAATGAAATGGTTGGTGAGTTAGGCAATGATTTTTATTTTACTTTAATTAGAGAACAAATGTTTTAACACTTAAATAAGTTACACCGAGTAAATATGTTTTCTAGAAGCAACACCACCGCCAATCTAAATAAAATTTAACTCTTCCAGTCCAGGCAAAAAAAGGGCCAACAAAGGAATCGGAGATAATAAGCTGGAAATCCGTACACAGCTTTATTTTGGCTTTCTAAAACTTGACTAAATAGTCTGATATAATCTCTAAAATTTAAAAAGTATTATACATATAACGTAATTTTATATAACATATTGATAATTTTGTAAGTTTATACTACTCACTGAGTTTGACCGTTGACCCTGTATTACAGCATATATGCGTGAGCGCTAGATGCTCTCCAAAGTGTATCTTGTAAATGGTTGAGCGTATCGAAAAACAGTTGAGACAAAAGTTGTGGGAAATTTTCGTATCTTTAATTTTTATAATAGGTTGGAAAGTGATGGAGCGATAGAAAGAGAGATAATTAAAACAAAACTGGTTTTCGCGACCTTTGACCTCAAATAACTATCGACGCAAACACGAGATCATATGAGACTTTTCGGTCTAGTTTTAGAACACCAAAATAAAGCTGTGTACGGATTTCCAGCTTGTTATCAGAAATTCCAAGGTGAAACCCTCAGGTCTGGACTATTATGTTAATAGAGCTAATAATAAATGAAGTTATTTGTTCTATACCTGGTGGCAAGCTACCACTACTTAGATATCTGGCTACATCACTCTGAAAAGCAGCAGCACTAGTTTCTCTCTTCAATTGCAGCTCTTCAAGTTGTTGTTGCTCCCGTTTATTATTCAATGCCTCATTCTCTTTTGCTAATTTAATTCTTCTTTCTTCTAACTCACCTGTGGATATAAATTGTGTATATAAAGATGAAGTGGGAACAGAACTTAAATGGCAATTTTTTGGAGTGCTGTTTACTTGAACAAATACCAAACATTACATTAATATAACAGTCACTAATTACATAGAAAATATTATTGTCAGTTTCAGAAAAATTATAAACATTATAGAAACCTTGGACCTTGTAAGCATTAACACCATAATCCATTGATTATTAGCCTATATTATTAGAGTTGTTTAATCATTTTCAATTCATTTGAGCTATGAAGTTATTGTACAAAATGAAAATGCTTACTCATTTTCTTTTTCTTGTAAAGACTCAGCTCGTAGTGATGATCTAGCTTCCACTTCTCCATATTGTTTCTCTCAACTAAGTCTTCCAATTCCACCAGTTGCTCCTCAACTTCCCTTAGCAATATTTGTACATTTCTCAAACTGTCCATACATTGCGCAACGCTGGCTGTTAGATTTGGTAAATGACCTAAATTATTAGCCAAAACTGTCGCAGTTTTAAGACGTTTTTTAGCAACTTCATGCAATTGTAGTATCAGTATATCTACCTCCTCGGCTACTTTCGCATTTTTATCCGCATTTTCGTGTAGATCAGCCCACGATTCTTGATACTTTTCTAATAAGGCACCTCCAGCTCCAAAGTTTACTTTTTGATTTGAAACTTTTTGCTTGTCTTTGAAAATATTTGTCACCTTCTGTACTTCTTGTAACGTCTGTCGTAGGTTATTACTTGAACTCAAACCATCTTGTACAACAGAAATAAATTCTTTAAGATTGCCTAACATTATTGAAATAAATAAAAAGGGAATCCATAGAATTTCAATACTTAATCGTCACATAAAAAGCACGAAAACAAAAACATCATCTGTTATTTGACGTATAAGTGACATGTTTTTGGCATTGACAAATACTTTAACGTTTAAAGCGTAGATAATAGTAAGAACATGCTGTAATTAAGTAATATTTATTGTCTATATTAGACTTTTTGACATAAGCACAATGTATATACATAATGTATATGTTAATTTGATAGTATTGTTTTGAATTTGAAACGAACGTTAACTATTTAACATTGAGAAAAGTGTGTCATATTTAATAATACGAAAATGAATGCAAAAAAGATAAGCAGTGACGATGTTCCCAAGGAGTTTTTGAAGTGGCTTCTATCTATGGGGTGCCCTGCCGATGTGGTGCCGTCTCTTGATAAAATGTCGCAGTAAGTTTAAATTAATCTATGTTTTATTGCACATATTCTCTGTGTATAAATTAAATAAATTGGGGGTACAAATCCCTAAAAAACACAATAAAGTCTGCAATCAGGTTGTTATTTGCCTATTGGTGAAAACGATACACTCTTCTTGAACTATTAAGAGTAATGGCTTGCTTATAGATTATGTCGTGGTCAATACAACATGATATGGAAGAGTATGATGGAACATGTCCAGGCAAAAACAATCATACGGGATAAGAGAATGCAAGTATTTGTGAATGATATGCACCAATGTCAAAAGAAGAGCCCCTTTAACCAGGTTAATATTGAAGGTTTTTTAATGACCTATCTCTTCATTGCTTTTTTAAAATATGTGGTCATAAGATTATAAAAAAGCACAATGTGTCGCTTACTTAAAAAAATCCTCAAATAATAAAAGTTTTTGGTGTAATGTACGTAATTTGTAAATACCGTAGACTCAATTAATGATGATAGAATATAGTTTAAATTTTGACTTTATAATTAATATCTTTCATTCAAATAAGAAAACCAATATTTGAAGATACTTTTTATTTTCATAATATAAAATTGTATAAATTATTATTTCTATACAAAAGCACTAGACATTTTACAGGGTAATATTTTATGTCTGATAGCTTTATTGGCCAAAGGCAGACCTTTATACTCCCATTTTTAGTTAACTTTAATCATATTTCAATTTATCATATATTTTAGAAAACTCAGTCTATTGTGGAACCAGTACAATTAACAGTCTGGAATCAAAATATTGAATGCAGGAAGAATTTACTGGAAATAGAAGCTAAAATTGCACAAATCCGCAATGAACTTAGTATTTTGGTAAACAAAGTCTCTAGTCTATGTAAGTATTTTTGTAATAATAATAGTTTACATGTTTTGTTATTTAGAGTTTTATATTTAAACCAATTGTAATAACTTTTACTTATCCCTTTCAATAAAATAATCCTTGCATTAATAACAGTATGTAAAGTTCATTTTCATTGACATACCTATTGTCATATCTTTTTGTAAATGTTGATAAATTAAAAAAGACCTAAATTCCCAAGTAAGACCTTACAATGTAACCCTTCAGTCTATACAAAAGTTTATATTTATATAAAACAACATACATAATTTACCTTCAATTTAGACAATACATTATAATTTAACATTATATTTAATATTATCAATACATACTTAAATATTTTTGTACGTTAAACTATATTGTACAGTGAAAAAGTACTTTTGAAAGACTGAATTTAAAACAGGCCTAACATGAAATTCAATTATCAAGTTATAAACATAACATGAAAATAATTTATTTCAGTGGCCAAGAAAACATTGATTAAAACAAATGTAGAAAATGTGCAAAGGCGTGCCTGGTTGCTTCAGCAAGTATTATCTGAGCTAGAAGACAAGAAGAAGTGCTTAGAGGAAGCTCAGGATATTGCCAATTCCTTATGTAACATTGACAAGGAACAGGAGTTAGAGGTAATTCCACCATAGGAACTTTTCCACCATAGGAGACATTTGACTGTGTTCTGATTATGACAATTAGGCCTATAATGTTCGTACAAAGAACCTGTACTGAGAACACCTATTTAAAGGAACAAAAAAATCTACTCCTATATTGATGTGGTCAAAATGTAACAACTTGATTGTTGCAATAGTAGTTTGCGCGTGGGTCTAATAGTTTGCGCACACAACTACAAACCACAAGGCCTCGGATTCAGTCCTAGGTCGGGCAAAATGTTACTTCGGTATTTGGAATTTTTTCTAAGAATTTCTGGTAATAGCCCATAGGTGGGTCATCACCCTCATGTCTCAGAACACTCAGTTACAACTAAATTAGTGACTGTAGTTAAAGCCCGACAATCCACACTAAAGCAGCATGCTGCCTGTAAGCTCTAAATACACGCTCATATACGAAGTACACATAAACTTATATACCTAATAAACTTGTTGTAGGCTAAAGTTGAGCAGTGTTTGTTGTTGTTAAAAAAGAAAATGTCACCGCAGAACAACAATACTTCTATGATGGCAGTACCTGAGGCTGATTCAGGTAAGACCTAAATGAATGTAAAGTAGTGCTTTTCTTAAGCATTATGGATATAGAGGGATATATGTAATGTCTGAGTTTATTCCACTTTTTAATTATAGCAAGTGCCAAATAGTTGTGGACATCTTTGTTTTGCTCAAACAAAAAAATATTAAGGTTCCTGGGATTTTTATCTAGTGTTTTAGCATGTATAATTTGTTGGTGTTTTCTTCTACATACTAACTAATCAGTTTAAATAACCAATTTGTCATATATATTTAATTGCCTTTTACATTTAATTCCCTTTTATATTTAATTCCGGAGATTAACATGTATGTAATATCTATTATTATATTCCAGAAGAACTCTTATCGTCTCTTATAAAATATCGCGGTGATGCCCTGTGGGCGATCTTGAACAAGAAACGAATGGCTATTTTATCAGAGTTCGAAGTGGCTGTCGATAAAGAAAAGGAGAATGTTTTAAAGAATCTGTAAGTATTTACACATTTGGGTAGAGATTAAAAAATCATTATCTATACTAATATTAGGGTATTGTGTTAAATTTATAAGGATTTCGCCGCCATTTTGCAAAGGTCGTAATTGAGAAATACTCGCGAACGACTTTTTAAATGCGACCTGATTAAAGTTTGTTTCTTTGTTTTGCAAAATCGCGCTTATAACAGCAACTATCATCCCGAAAAGAATGAAATAAATATATTCGCCTTTATTCTCTGTTGGCTAATTGATTAGACAAATATATCTGAGGAATTTTATATTTTTATAATCAACACGGAACGCTGTAGATTCCGTTTCAAATCCCTTTCGACTCGTCAGTTATTCTCAGTCCAACTAGATTTTTTATTTATATATTTCCATCACGTGCAATAACATTTGAAAAATTTGAAGTTTTCAAATGTTAAGTATTTATTAACATCTTTGTTTCAGTGACACAATAGAAACTACAGTGGCTAACACGACGTTGTTACATTGCTCATTGGGTTTACAAAGTATGAAAAATAAGGAACACATTAAGCGGACACAGAGACACCTGGCCGCTAGTATTGAAGCATTGGGCGTAAGTGATGTTTCCAGTTACTTCTATTTATAACAGACAGACATCGAACCTAGTAAAAAGGGAAATAACGAGACTAGATTATAATATCCAACAATAATCAATTTAAATTTTATGTATGTATAATAAATAATAAAATTTAGATTATATGTTAAACAAAAACTGCTTGGAAAGGGCTATAACATATTTAAATGATAACAATTGGGGTTTGCAGAAAATGTACACATCAAGTGTGTAAGCATTGTAACAAAAACTGGACAATAAAAGGAGGGCGGCGATTTTCTTGTCACTTCTCATTCGTTGTACGCCCTTTATTTGGGAACTAATTGTAGATGTAAATTTACAGTTTTAAATTTGTAACTGGTTTGACGTTCATATGTGAGCCTAGCTGCATACATAAATAAATGATTGGAATTTTTTATTTTATTTTAGTCTACTCTATCTCCAGAGGCATGCGAGTTATTAGTGGTTCAGTGTGAACGTGCTTCTACCAAAGCCCGGATCGACGCCCTAAAAGAGCTCTTGCACGATATGACGTCACGGCGTGGCCTCTTTCAAGTGCCCGACGACACTGCAACAGACGAGATACGCGCGACCACCCGACAATTCACAACTATCGACAAGGACATTGTAAGTCAGAGTAGTACACATTTAAATAAAACACCTTTAATGGTTTAGAACTAGATAATATATGTTAGTTAAGTAATTTATATTATGTTTGGGTAATAAACCATCATGGGTTAATTCCTACCAGAACCAACATGTTTCTAATATCAGGGCCTCTCGCCTTATTGCAATGTTAGGCAATAAGCTGCGGAGGTGGTGAATAGATTATAGTCAAAAATATATACTTCTTTTTCAGGAGAGCACTCGTAACGACATAACGAAATACTTGGCTGCGCAAGAGGCGACTGAATCGAAGATTCACAGCGTAAAGAATTGTTTATCAGCGGTATTCAGTGCCTTCCACGCTAATAACTTGTTGGGAGACAAATTCAAAGGTATGTTAATTGATGTTTAGTAACATTGTTAATTGTAACGTTTTACAACAAAATGCAAGACTGTCGATATTATGTTCTCTCTACTGTATGGTTTATGTACAAACTATATACCTACTTAATGACTGGTAGTAATATACACGCGATACTTTGAATATCATGGCAATGAACAAAGCCACAGATGTAAAATTATTTTTCGTCTTTTTTTTTAAATAATATTAGAATGCTTTTTATTCTTTCGTTATCTTAATGTTTTTTCTTTTTATTCTTAGGCATACAGTTCAATTTCCCACAAGAATCCATAACTACCCTACACAAATACTACTCAGCTATTCGTCAAATAGAAATGAGCAAACACAATCTGAGCATGGACTTCGACGCCTCGAACACATCGGCGATCACTGACGACGAACGGTTGTTTTCAAATGAACTGAGGATATATTTGCAGAATTTCAATCTCGACAAGAATAGAAAAATTCTTTTAAAAAGGTATATAAGGTCTTTTATATATGTAATATACGAAGTTTGTTGAAACTTGATGGAAAATTTGTGTCGCGTAAACTTATTATGAAAAATAAATAAAAAGTATTATTATAGATTAAGCTCGTTAAAATATTTGTAACAGTCTGAATGCCTATAAGAGAAATTACTTTTTAGTGGCGAAAAAATCTGGATATCGGAGACCATACAATCGTCAGCGTTGCGGCTACAACAAGTCTGTCTAGATGATGACGTCACACCACTGTTGTGTCCGTCTGTCAGTATCAGAAGTAACCTGAAACGAATTATTAACAGTGTTATAGAAAAAGAAGAACTCAAAGCCATCTTGGAAGGTTTAAAAGCAAGGAATGCGCCTGATATTATGTTGATTGGTAAGTATGCTAAAATAAAAAAGCGTTGATTTCCTTTAAATTACTGCTATGTACAGCTTTAGTTTCAACGAGCTATTTATGTAGAACATTATTTGAAGATGATTGTAAGAAATATTAGATCAATAGGAAACCTCTCGGTGTAGCTCTAAATTTTTCATGCTTTTAAGTTTTGGGTAGTTTTCGCCTCAAAAAAAACTAAGAAGGAACGTTACTTCACATATTAAACAATAACTTCATTCAATTTCTAAATTCGTTTCACATATGTGGGACTTAACGAATGTTGGACAATAACGTTTAATTGATATGTTATATAAATTGCTGTCGTAGGGAAATTAGTACTTTGATACGACTATTAGGTGACAGCAGTTAGGAATACAACTTACTTCAATTATAAATATGATATTTTATTTTCAGATATCAAAGACAAGCTAGAGGCCGAGGAAAAAAACAGAGATAGATTAAAAAAAGAAAATTGCAGAAAATATGTTCATTCTTCAAAGAACTAACAAAAACATGGATGTTGCTAAGGAGAACCTCAATTTTTGGTGTCAAGACGAGATGAAGAAATATATTTCCACAAAAAGGAAAATCGAAGGAAAGACTTATGTGGACTATGCGAATTTTTACTCAAAGGCTGTTTATACAAAATAAATTTCTTGAGATATGGTTTATCTTATTTCTATAAACCCATACTGATATTGATTTGATTTCATTGAAACACAATGAAAAGCTCTTTAAAAAGTCATGGTGACTGTACAGACTAAGATTAAAATAAGATGTTAAATAAATTAAGAAATACTTGTGTTGCCATTTTATTTTGCCTCTGTAAATCTCCAAACCCTTACTAGGATAACATAGGACTTTTGTTAAAATAAAGAATCTTAAAATAGCAATTACATAATAGATTTAAAATACGCATGAAAATTAATCGCAAAATTTTGGGAGTACAGATGAAATTGGCGAGCAATAATAATAAATTGACTAACATCCGTTCGATTCACGTCGTTTCCCATGAAAATTGGTAGTATTTTGCATTTCAAATTGGTAAATGGTAGTTTTTGTCTACATCTAAAAATACCCTTTTATTAAAAACTGCTTCGGTTTTCGAGCTGTTTAGCCGTCGTAATTGAGGAATAGATTCATTTCATTAGTTTAATTACGACGGCCGAACAGCTTAAGCGGCTTACGATCTAATAGTATTTTTAGATTTATGTTTGGTTTGAACATACAAATAGCTTTCCAAAATGGCTACAAAATACCAATAGTCATGTTATGTGAGTGAAGTTCAAAAATATGTCGGCGCAGCGTGGTCGGTTCGTGTCATAAAATGGCATTCGGTCCAAATATTGTGCGCAGTTTTCCACCTAACTATGCTATCTAAGTAATCATGATTAAAACTAATTTCGACCTGCGCTGTCGCCGATAAACTACTTACCAAGAATACAACATTATATAAGCGGTAAAGATTTATCTTCAGTGGATATCCGAAACCCTTCTAAGGAATATAAGTATGTGACATAGGAGATAATACTATAACATACAATACAACTATGATCACATACAATAAATAATACAAATCGTAACAAGAAAAGGCAAAGTACGTTTAACTCATTTAATGGTAAAAGAAAAATCAATAGCGGACATCATCTAAACTCGTTTTAAAAGTAGTTTAGTAGTCGCATCTGTGAGTCAAGGTATTATTATTTCCATAGTCGTAACTCCACCCACGCCGTGAAGCTAAATCAAGGTCATAACTCATGCGATTGAACAGCGCCGAGTTGTATGCGGCACATTTTGTGTATAGCGAGTATAATCTACTGTAGCATAGGACCAACATCGAGCATTCAGTTACCTCGCAACGGCAGCGGTATGGAAAGAGATAACAATACTAAATAGCTTTAGAGTGAAAGGGACAGCCGATTTCTGGTTACCGACTTTGCCATGCAAGAAACATAGTCATGCGCTATACTAGCATAATTATACTTCGCTGTTGGCATGGGTGTGAGTGAAAAAGAAGCGACCCGACAATCGAGTGTGGTCCGTGGACTATTTCGAGTGCGATTAAGTGATTTAGTGTGATTTCAGTAAGACTTATTAATGATTACAAATAGAACTTCCTTTGATAATGCTGTTATTGAAAACAAGGTTTTGTAGTGTGTGATTGACGCTGCCTACTTTCATACCAGATAGAAAGAGTAATCGGCCATCTTGTATTTTTGTGTTGCGCTTTCTGAGAATAAGCAAGAAAAAACTGGAATAACTCGTATCTTCCTATTGTTTGCTCCAATAATACCGGTAAAAAATTCAGAAAGTGTGTGTTTACTGATTAAGAAACTGTGTGTGTCTCAAAATATCATTCTATTCTACTGTAAACATTGAAATGTGAATTATTGTTTCCAAACATTGTCTAAAACTAAAAGTGAATATTTCCAGTTATTGGATTGTTTATGTTATGATAATAGGTAAGGTAATAATTTATTCAACTATTTAATTATAACGATGTGATAGAGATTAAATAGTGTAGTTGCTTGTTTGCCTACTTATATTTTTGCTTTTGCAACTATCGAAACATTCAAAATATGGCTAGCATGAGGCTTTTTCGTATTCTCTTTAATTTTGAATGATTGTATTGCATTTTTCAATGCAGTAGAAAGTTTAAACTTAATTTTGTTTTGTTTCTGGGCTGTTTCCTAAGTAATTGCTTCACTACTTACTATCTTAGCACTTTCTTAAATGCAATCTCTTAAATTCAACTAAATATTGTATATATTCGAGTAGGAAGGTACTAAAGTTTAAAGAACATGATATTACTTACTAAAAATAAGTCAAAAGTAAAGTAACTACTTAGTTTGTTTGTTAAAAACACATTATATAAAATCCTTAGTTTTTCTTTAAATTCCTTGAACCAACATAATGTGTCCTACAATGAATAATTGTTGGTTTCAGATAAAAAATGGCTACTCGGACCAAATCTGAATTACCTCCATCGCCACAAGAATATAATTCAGGTCTGTCTTAAATTTTTTGTTTATTGCTTTACTTTCCTTTAATTCATAGTTTTTATTTCCTAAAAGCTTATGTGTTGAAATATCTTGTGGTTCCAAATATTACCATATTTTAGTTTGTTAATAAAAGCTGTTATATATATAAAATATTTTTTTGATAAGAACCAAATTGTGCATTTACATTCATAGAAGAAGTTTTTGTTCTACTGACACATACTATTATAGACAATTGCTTAATATTTGTTAAGGGACAATATCGTTAATTAAAAATTAAAGAAAAAAATAAAATGTGATTTAGAGACTTAATATAAATATTGGTCCATATTAAAGTTGTGTCAATGTGTGTAATGTTTTATATTATAAATGTTCATTTATGAAAGTAAAGAAAGCATGAATGTTAATTCTCATGCTATAGAGACATAGCAAGTAATTTTTTTAACGGAGAGATATTGTGAATGTCAATTTATGAGATATGGGTGAATATACGGTATTTGAGTTTTTTGGGTCCCAGAAGGAAATTTGGTCTGTTTCATTGAACATGTATAATTTATATATTTGACACTATTTTAAAACTAGTAATGATAGAGGCCAGAAGATATTTTGTAGTTTTATACGTGCCAGAGGAAAATACATTACCAGAGAAGTGACATCGCTCATAGAGTAGTATCAAATTAAACTAGAGAAGTGATATAACCTTGATTGTTAACTGATTATTAACTAAGCTAGGGACAAGAGATATGACAGGTTTTAGAGAAGCCCTATTGCGGTGACTCAATTCGTTTCTCCCTTAATATACAAAACCAAAATATGCAAACTATTTTGTGTTCGGGAATCATTACACTTCTATTTTTTTTTTGATAATATTTCAACAACATTTTTATAGTTACATTGCCTTTTAGGCGTTATATTGTGCGATATTGACAGAGTATAGTTGCTCCATGCATCTTCAAGCTTAATAATCACTTTGTCTTTTGGAGTAAAATCTAAAATGATTATGGAATACTTCCAAATACTGCGTTTTTTCATTTCAGTTTTCGAATCGAAAATGTTCCCTTCAATACATTGTTATGAAAAATATTTGGTGAAAACAGAATTATCGAATGCATAATGCACTAAAGAAATTCACACAAAATAGTTTTCATTGTATTGTATTCGTAGCAACATCAATAATTAAGCATAGCTTGATTTATCTTGGAAAACTTATGATGTTTATCAGTTTTATGGAAGCCATAATTCCATAATTTTTGTGATACAATCCAAAATGGCTGTGGGCGACAAAAAGCGTGTACTAACCTTTATATTTTTGACTGACTTAAATTGATTTGATTTAATACTCACTTTATATTATAGTTCAGCGTAGGGCTTTTTTTGTAATCGATTCTCCCTTGTTTGCTTTTTTTAACATTCACCATGATGTTTGACTATGGTGATATATCTCGAACAAATCAAATTAAACCTTAACATATTAAATATTGAACAAAATGTAATTTTGTTACTTCTCTGGTGATCATGTATTTCCTCTGGTATGAAAAGTGCCATAGAGGTGACGACAGAGAAGTGACAAAATTAACTAAACTATCTAACAAAATTAACTAACTATTATTAATTAAATAAACAACATCATTTTCTTAACTCGCTACAGTTCTATGTAATTCATGAATTCTGGACACAATAATCATCGCTAGGACTAAATATACAATTCGATAACGATAAAATACATAAAACTGTTCTTACCAAAGGAAATACTCCAACTACTGGCACAAACACGTTTTCCGAAATTGAATTGTTAACTGACGATGTTTCGTTTGAATTTTACTCAAAGACAAGTTTAAGGCCAAAACATACCGTGGGCAAATTTTATTTCTTTATTCAGTTGCGCCAGATGAAATGACGATATTGTAACATGATAAGCGAAAAAGGTATTTTAATTTATATTAATAGTTTTTTTATACAGTTTATTTTTATAAAATATGCTGCATTGTTTATAAGCATATGATCATTAAAAATTAAAACATAATTGAATACGTATTTACATTATTGTTTACATAAAACCACTATTATCCGTAAATGGGAAGACCAGAGGACTATACATTTTTAACGTTTTCAAAATAAAAATTTCATAAATTGATCATTTGTCGTAACAAGATTTTGTGTCCCAGATAAATGCAATATTATTTATTATTTAAACACGGAGAAGCAAAAATATAATAAATTTAACATGCGTTTTTCTATGGACCATTGAAATTAAGTCAAATAAAAATTCATATTATAATGTTTATACTATTGAAACATACCTAGAAATTCTTTGTAATTAAGGATACTGCGAATATCAATGTACAAAATAAAAAACATAAGTACAACATGTATAGTCATGCTATAGAGGTATACAAAAAAAAACATTTCTTAGGTTTTCGGTTTTGATTGTCTGTCTTGTTTTGAGTATAGTAGACAGTAGATAGACAAAATAGAAGGTCCTTTTACTTACATCTATTTTTTCTCTTTATATATAATTAGAGATGCGCCGAGTAACGAGTACCAATTTTTTAAAACAGGTTCACGCCGGTCAAGACTTCGGCTGGCTTTGATATAGCCCACACCTCGCGCACCCCTTTAACTAGAAGTCACTTGGTTGATTGCAAACGCGTTTATTAAGAATTTTTAAAATTTCTCAGGTTACTAATAAATAGTTTTGGATTAACACTGTTGTTTAAATTATATCTACCTTAATATATTGCTTTTCCTGAACAAAGTATACTCGTTATCAAATAACAAAGTATAACCGAGTTATTCGGTTGAGTACGAGTATCAACCGAGTACTCGGTACTCTGAGTACTCATCTCTATATATAACAAACATTAGATGAAAATGTAGATAGTATATATATTGCATGTTTTTAATTTATGATGAATATTGAATATAAGTACCGCTTTACATTTTGTTGTTTTTAAACTACTTGTATTATTCTATATAAAATAAGTTAACAGTTGATTTATTTTGTTTCTAGATGGATATGAAGTATTAGAAGAAGAAGTGGAAGAAAAGCGACAACCAGTTAACAACAACGTAGCAAATATCTTGGAGAGGCTCAAGTCATCTGGTGCGTCGATCAGAAAACCGAAAAATGAGTTTTACTGTTTCACTTGCAAAGTAGACTTTCCAGACTGGGAAGAATTAGAGAATCACCTGATACAACACGTTTCCCTGCCAGCTGTTGTTCTCGACAAACTGCCTTCAGATGATGAAGATGGTCCTCCTTCGGGAGATGGGAACTGGTCTGATGATGAGGAATCATTACCCCTCAAAGTACCACTGCAGAAACCTCTACAAAAATTAGATATATCGCAAATTCTCAAAAACAAAGGTATCTCTATTAAAAAGAACGAAAGTTCACCTACATCTACCTCGGCTTTAGACAAATTAAGCAGATTAGGATTAACTATTAAAAACAATACTACTCCAATAAAAAAGGAGCAACCAGATAGCAGTAGTAACAGCGTAATGCAAAAGTTGGGAAAACTGGGCGGCATTAAATTAAAGTTAAAATCTGATGGAAATAATGCCAACACTTTTAAAGTAATAAATGGCCTTAAGGACTTCAAAGCATCAGATGATGAAGATGAGGGTACTGATCAAGAAAAAGAAGAGGCTCAAGATGATTACAACAAATCTGAAGAGAGCAATGACTCAAAAGAACAGTATGCAGTTAAATCACCTAAGCTTTCCGATTCCGAAGACTGTGCATCTAAACTTCCGAAGTTGCCCGAGGGCCTCAAATTGTCAATCACAAAAACTACTCAAAATCAAACAAAATGTGCACCAATAAAAGTACAATCTCGAGGTAGACAAACTGTAAAACAAACCCCTACAAGAGCAAAGTTACAATCTACGAAGATGGCTCCGAATAGTCCTCCAGCCGACCCAGTTAAAGAAACACAGCCCTCAACCCCTGATCGGCCGGACTCTAATGCAAGCGCAGAAACCGTAATAATTAAAAAAGAAGTAAACGACCCCAGCGAAATGTCAACTAATAAACCAATATTCTCTTCGGACATAATAAAAACAGAAAGACTCTCTCCACCGCTTCCTGATAGTTCATCTGCGCCGCTTCTTACAAAAATTAAAACAGAAAATGACGTATCGTCACTTACGACGACAACGGCCACTGCGACGACGACTACGCCGTTGTTACCCGTTACAAAAACTGAGGAGCCAGTAACAATAATAGAGATAAATGGTGATTCGAATGATGAAGATGATGATTGTTGTGTTGTATCCACAACCCCTGCACCAGACATCAAACCGAAAGTTGAGAATGATAGCCCAAAAATTGAAGAAGTGTCATACCCAACCCCTTCATACTCCACTTCAAATACATTCTCAATGCCACAAAGTAACTACACGTCAACGCCCGGCCTAACTTCCAATGCTTCAATGGCTTCGACAGAATATAAGCATAATTACAACTGGAACGTACAGGACTCTAAGCCTATAGATATGTTAGAGAAAAGTGCCGATGACTTATATGATAGTTTATTATCCTCTGGCAAAAAAGAAAGTATGCTGTCTGACACAAGTGAATACATATCATTAGATAAACTAGGCACGCAACAGACTTGTGATGTATGTAATACAAGGTTTACAGATTTATCCTTATTAGATGAGCACAGAAAAATAACAGGACATTCACAAAGTTTAGTTCCATCAACGTCTACGATGTTACCATACAACCCTTCTTCTAGTTTGCTGTCGTCTCTCTTACCAGTAAAGCAATTAGCCGATCAAGTTGGAAAGCTTTCAACTATAGGCAACAGTGGACCTGGGTACACACATCAGCAAAATGTTATGATTAATATTCAAGCGTATCCCGGTAGTGCTGGCGGTATGATGCCGCAAACACCATATAACACTTTTCAGGGAGCGCCATCTATGCATTCAAATTATCCCCCAAACACTAATATGTATGGAGCATCAGGACAGGGAATGCCGGGGCAATATCAAGGTGAAAATTACGTAGGGTCAAGCGTGCCATCTTACGGACAGTATCCACCTCAAATGTCAAAGACTGGCTACTCTGGGACGATGCCACATAATGCCTACTCGACGGCTCCGTATGCCACTCCTTCTCCACTGCAAGGAATGCAACAGGCCGTTTATGGACAGTCGGGTATGCTGCCCACTTCCTCGCCTTCCCAACAATCATATGTTCCCACTTCAAGTCCAAGTGGACACATGAAACCACCATATAGTAATAGTGGTGGTATTATGATTCAAAGTGTTCAAAATTTTCCACCCAGCCAAATAGCTACAACTACAATGACAACTTCCGTTCAAGATGTACCTCACTCTGCTCCAGGGATGATGCCTCCGCCTGCTGCAAAAGTCTCCGCTGGCCCCACGTTGCATGCAATTCGACCACGAATGCCTGGCATTCGACCTGGGCAAAGACCCACCATTCGCGCGGGTGCACAGATACAGGGCCACCTACGTCCTGGAAAAATATCCCAGAGAATGCCCATTAAACGAATGGGAACAGCGGCAGGTGGCCCTTCTGCAAAGCGGCGCTCCGATATGTTACTACCGGGCAAGCACGAAAGCGACGATTGTCAAGTCATGGCAATGCAAAGGCAAAGAGAAGGTCTTCCTTTAATACAAAGCGTATCAGGCGCCAAATTAGGAAGCCAAATCTCAATAACAAAAAAGACTGTTAATAAAGAAGCTAATGCAATGGCGAACGTTCTCGCTTCCCGGGGCATAAGCGTAAAACAAAAGCAGAAAAGTCGAACACCATCACCGGAGAGGCCAATCCCTCATTTACCCAATCTGGGCTCCGATGTCAGTATCAAGCATACGTCTAAGTCTACTAAATTCAGTATACCAGAGGCAAAAGTTGGGTCCAGTATGACATCGTGTAAAATCTGTAAAAGGATATTTGGAAGCTACACTTCCCTTCAAGCCCACATGGAGACCTCTCATCCACAAAGTAAAATACCTGTCTTCAAATGCGAAGACTGCCCGGCTTCATACGCTAAGTCACTTCAGTTGCAACACCATAAGCGAGTGTTTCACAATGCGAAAACGCCTAATAAGGAATTGGGCTTGCCCGTAGTAGATATGTCCCAACCTGAGCATCTAAAGAAGTTAAGTTCGTTAGGTATATTCAGTTTTATTCCGTTAGCAGACAGAGAGGGAGCCAATAGCTGCTTTGGTGTACCTGTGATTTCTATACATAGTTTAAATTCCGGCTTCACATCAAGTTTACAAGGTATTTGTGCTGAAGGTTTACTGAGCTTGGGGCCTCTGAAACCATTACCGAACAGTTAAGTTATTACCAGTCACAAAAGTACATTGCTAGTTACTATAACTTACACAGAATATATATAAGATTAATATATAGAAGTAATATGAAATAGATGTATGTGTGTGTTTTTAGCTAATAAGCCAGTCTTGTTATTTTTTTAATGTAGTAATAATTTTGTCAGACTTAAGTTCCAAAGAACAGTCTGCCTAAGTTATGATCCGAAAGTACTCTAAGGAAATATAGTCTTAACTTTAAGTTCTTTATAGTAATTATTATTGGTGCAATAGAGTATAAGTGATAACTGATCTTATAGAATAAAAAGGATTAGATTATTTTTACATACCTGCATGTATAGATATACTATAAAAAATTTCGTTTGTTGGTTCACTCTTAAATTTAGTTCAATTATGATTTGTTTAAATTTCAGTCTTATGTTTATAACTGAAAATACAAAAGCAGACTGTTTATTTATTGTTGGCGTTAAATGTTAAAAACGACATTAAAACTGAATGTTCCTCACCTCGGCTGCATTTATTCAAATGAAGTACACTTCTTTACCTTATATATAAAACATTAAACTTGTCTTAATGTTGGCATATATGATTGTGATTTTAGATTTAAGACTAGTCTTTGAATAAATGTGTATTTTATACATTTCTTTAACTGAGTTGACCAAGACGTTAATTTTCAGTGAGTTATACCACTAAGGCAACCTATTATTTTATAAGGATTAGAAAGTAAATAGGGTCTCATATATTCCAATAAAGAGAAAGAGAATATGTGGATACAAGAGTATTTAATTGTTTTATTAAGGTTCACTGACTATGAACAACTCCTGCTCTATTTAGGCTGTGTATGCATTCCAATTGTTATTGATGCCAGTAAAAGCCAGGTATTTTTAAAACTATGTTCAATATGAAAAAAAACAACAACAAATTCAATGTTTGACCATTTATTCTTAAGACAGTAAAGCTTTTGGTATTTTAGTACAAGTAAAAAGGCTCAAAACTCAACTGACATAACCCACAAGCCAATGTGGAATGTAGCAGGAAAACACATTTAAAAATGCCCTTTGGTGCATAAAATGTAAGAATATGAATTTGACTTAAAACTATCGTAAAACTAATTTTCTCCAAGTTATTTAGGGATGTTTTCCAACCTGCAGTAATTAATTCCAGTTTCCCACGCATAGAGAAAATTAGTATTTTTAATAAATGGGTTTACTACCTATGTTATTATAATTTAGGATCTGAACACACTGTAAAAGGATTTATACAAACAAGTTTATTACTCTACATGATGTGCCCAAATATATGATAGTAAACACTTTCAAATATACAAAGAGTGGTATTCTTAAAGAAGTGATTGGGATGATTCCTAAAAACGACACCTCACTTCTACAAAATCCAGAAAGCTTTTTAGCTTACCATAATAGATAATAAAAACTTGCAATTACATATATTATTCTCTTCTGTGTTGTGTATTACAAAAATTTTTCATTTTATTTTAAGTGATTGACAGACCCTAAATTATTTAACACGGCATCTATAAAACTAATGACGTTAGTATTTGAGACATTATTCAAGGCGTAGTAGTTCTACATCAAAAATTAGTGTGGAGTTAGGGGGGATAACTCCAGGGTGTCCTTGCTGCCCGTAAGCATAGTCAGGGCTGCAGGTAAGCTTAGCCCGCTCGCCAACTGACATCTAAAACAAAATATTGCTTTGTTATTTAACTACATAGTTTTGTAAAAGTGAAGAAGAGTGTTCATATAAATATTAATATACATTTTAAGATAAAATAGATTTTTTCTTTGATTTTTAAAATAGATTCTTAAAATGCTATGGAGCTAAATAATTAAATGTGTTGCCAAGCATTGTGCTAATCAAGAGATCCTTGGTCAGCAGGGACAAAGTGCATAATTCATAATAATTCTGATTAGCTTTTTTGTGCCTGTAAATAGAATCAATCAGGGAAAACGAATATAGTAATGTGTTTGCTCCTTGGCCCAAAGGGGAAACAGTATTTCCCTACTAAAATGCAAGCAATGTTAAAAATATCACAGGTTCAAAAAACATACACAAATCTTGTCTATCAGTAAAGGTATTTTGGATACTGAATGCACTAGAATAGATTAAACAAAGATGTAGTTTATACTTTTGCAACTCCTTCATCCCAGCCTTTGATGACCTCTCCCTTGCCAATTTTGAACTTGAAGGGCTTTCCACGGTCGCGGGATGAATCGAACTTCTGTCCATTTGTTAAAGTGCCCGTGTAGTGAACGACAACTGTCTGCCCTTTCTGGGGATATGTCGCCTCTGAGAAAAGAAGTTGAAATTTCTTTAATTGAAGTCTCTGTAGCTTGGTTTTCATTCGGACAAAGGTTAGCAGGGTTTGTGTTATTGGTCGTAAACAACAAATTAGTCTGTATATATAAAACCATGGTTGGTTCCGATCAAGTCAACTACATGGTAATATAATATATAAGGTCAATAGGTCTCTATAATTTATAGTTCGTATCGTTATCAAATTACGTAAAACTTTAAGTATGCGGCTCAAGATGCTATTTATTATCAAAATTTAACCATATAAGTATATATGTAGTGTAAATGAAAGCTTATAATTGCTTCCTAGTAAAGCGAACCTATTGATATAAATGAAGCGTCAGGCACGCGCCGGCACACAAGCCGAGAATCAGAGTAAAATTATTGATATACGAAATCCTAAACGTGATACAGGTAGGTGGGATGTGTCGGTTTATAAAATATTAATATATATTTCCTGTATATTTTTTCCAGAGTCAATTAGCAATTTTACACATAACCTTTAAAATTCGCTGGTATTAGAATGTAAGCCAAGTGAAAAAACTTACCGTCTCCAGGTGAAATGGTTTCAACATTTACTCCCATGATGGAGATTCTATTGCACAGTTAAATATATTAATGTAATAGCAATCAAATAATCACGGCGCGGTCAATAAAATAATGGCGCCGAGTTGAGCGGGGCGCGGGCGTCAAAGCGGTCAAAGATGTTGCCATAATGCAAAATTTATTGAAACAAAATGTTTGCTAGACTGAAAAAAATATTTAAATAAAACAGCCGACTACAAACGGTTGAATAAAAAAATAATTTTACTTCGCCCAAAAAAATACGTATTTTGTTTTAGTTTAAAATAAATAGTTTATTAACGACGAAGTTATGCCCAACCAACCATAAAAAACGTAATATATGCGACTCAAACCGATAAACTTCTTTTTGTTGAGGTTGTTTATCAATATGTAATACTTAGGTTTTAATTTAAATAGATGTGGTTAAAAAAGTGTTTCCATATACCGTATCATAGCTAGCACCTTGTACTGAAGTAAATAAAAATAAATTAGGAAACAAAAAATAACCGAATTCACTAGCGATACATATTATGTATTTGGACTTACTTAAATAGGAATTAATAGCCAAAGCCAAAATATAGGTCGACGACATATCTTATTGAGATGTTATATGGTTGGGTATTTTGCTTGTCTGTTTTCGTCTACCATAAAAAATGTACTATTAATATTTTTATAATTTTGAATGTCGTTGCCAACTAAATGTTTCATCATTTTTGCGGGTATTTGCTCTTTTTTGCGTAACATTTCAAGGGTTTATATTATATTTTTTATTCTCGTAAATAATAATAGTGATAAACAAAACTCACAAATGGTTTACAAATTACCAAATCCATTAGCGTTTTAACAATATATTCTCTTTCCATGTACTTAGATATAATATATAGTTTAGCTGTTCCCCTTTATAAGAGTAATTAAAAATTATTTTTTAAATTATATTTTATTTATACAATCTCCGGTCAGATCTCGATGATAAAGGAATATAGACGGTAAATGAAATAAATTTAACAAATATAAACATTTATTTGCGTAATTAATATGTATTACAGAGTCTTTGCACAAAATTGAAAACATTTATATCTCTAACACATATTAAAATTTATAATGACTTAGCTAAAACATTTATTTTACTATCACATCCATTACTACCTTCTTCGAAAAACCCTTTTAAACACCGATTCTGGCTGGAAATCGTAGTAATTACATCCAGTGACATAATAAATAGCATAACGTAATAAATAATATATCGACAGAACTTAAATAGCCGTTAATAACCAGGTTCTTTTAGGAAAGTCTTTAAATTGTGACCATATTTTAATGAACTTTACGTTTCAAGTTTATTTATTTTAATTCGCTTTAAAGTTATATTATACATTAACAAAATTAACAATCGCGTAGGTACTTTGATACAAACTACAAACAAACAAAAAGCGATTCTTAAGTAATTTGAAGACATTTTTATTTGTAGAAAAATAAATTATATTAATTATATTGGGATTATAAGTTTTGTACTTACATTGATATAAAACTGAGTTTATATCATAAGTTACTCTTGGTAAGACAGCCTAATAAACCACAGATTAAACTTATTTTCTCCATAAAGTTTATTACCTATTATGTGAATGAATCTTTATTTTATGAAAATTATTTTAATTTATTATCTGTACTCTCAAATATTTGGCATTTATTTTGGCTTATATATAAGGACTAGGTATTTAAATGTCACAACACTTTACCAACCACAGAAAGACTACTTTTCGTGCTGTCTTGTAGGTCATTAATACAAGTAATATGAGTGATCCGCGTGTCTCTTGCGAGTGCATTATTGTAATCAAAATGGTTCATTAAAGTAATATGACCTAGTACGGCGGCGTCAAGTTTTACCGCGCCGTTATACGTATTTATTTTTAACGTTTGATATAGTTAATAATAAATTCTGCGAGGTATTTCATTGATTTAAATTTTAACATATTATCCTGTACAAGCTGCGTCGCTGACTTCGTCCGCGTAGAATAGTTATTTTAGGCATCCTAATTCGTTTTTCAAACCCCTTCATCTTTATAAACTTACCCACGATGTCGGTCGCGTCCCTTCCTCCCGTTCTTGCAAGTTAATGGTAAAAGATTTTTTTAGATTTTTTTTTAGATTCATTTCAAGAAGAACCATTCTTTCATAGATATTTTTTGGGTATCTTGAACCGTTTTTGCAGCGTACGCCTCGGAAACCCAAAATGACGAACATTTTTTTTGATACATTTTTCGTTGTATCTACGTGTGTATTGGCCACAAGGCGATGTTTTATATATACCTATAGCCTTCCTAGATAAGTGTTCTAACCAATACAAAATAATTTTTCAATTCGAACCCCTAGTTCCTGAGATTAGCGCGTTCAAACAAACAAACTCTTCAGCTTTATATATTAGTATAAATATACATATATTACAGATGATTTTTAATAAGAAAGTGCTTTAGAATATTTAGAAGTTCGTTTTTGTACGTTGCACTTACCTTACCGACAAAAATATTAACCACATCGAATAAATACTTACGAATGTTAAATACGAGTAGATCAACTTTTGAATCGTGATATTTTCAACAATTATTAACGCTTAAGCCAGATATTAAAATTCGTTTAGTGCAAAAATGTTAATTCGACTAACACATCTTAACGTTTAACACTTCAAGCTTATATTATTTAAGTACATTTAATGCATCTATTGATTAATTTAAGTAAAAAAGCACATGAATTTAAATTACGTATCTTAAGTCTTTCCATAGTTATCCGAATCAACATGGCAACCTTAATATAAAATAAATAACATACGAATTATGACAATACCGAAAAGAAAGGCGGTGGTACTCAAATTGTTTGAGGGTAGTAAATATTATTGGCATATTATATAAACACAATATACCAATAAAACTCCAGAAATGTCGTTTTATTTCTCAGACGATTATGGTCAGTATAATTTAAGCATTTTAATTATCAGAATTGATAAGAATATCTTAAAAAGGCTTTCGTAGTCTTTTTCACTTTTTAATCTATGGTGAGTTAAAAATTCAAATGCACCCAGGTGCATTTATAAGCGGCCAGTTTATACTTTTACTTGTTAACTTAATAGCCATGGAAAGACTTAAAGCGAATTCAGATCACTGGGACGGACTGGCGGCAAAGTTTGCATTAAATTATGGCGTAGTGGGCTCTTCTTCCTGGTTATGCTTCGCCAAAGCTAAAAGAATCATTGTCAGTTGCTTCCTACTGATTTTCCCTTCGCTGCTGTATTCGACACCCTGCAGGATCGTCTCTTCAAATTCTAGCAGATCTTGCGCATCGTAGTCCTGAAAATAGGATAAAACTGAATTTAAACATTTAATTATAAGACAATAAAATAGTAAAAGAAAGAATGATTTGTGATGTGAGTTAAGTCACCAACGTGGTACAGAAGTGTGTCCATCTTTTCTTTAAATATAATCGATCAGTCAAACGGACACAGATGAAATTAGCTTTTACTACATATATGTACTTAATACTTCTAATAATATTATAGTAAAGGTTTATTTCATAAATATAAATAACTTACTTTCTTTACTAATTCTAAGAGATCTTTAAGGAATCCTTTTAATTCTTCGTTTTCTATAGAACCATTATTATCCTGGAAATGAAAGAAGTAAATATGAATACCGTAGCAATAATCTAAGCTGCGAAGTCTAACAATTCAAAGCAAAAATTCTCAAATATTATGTTTATAGAGGTAATAGAAATAGCATGGATACAATATGTCAACTTTCTTGATTCTCAAATAACTGAATTTTTTATTAAATCTCAAAATATTTTTTTAAAATCTTTAAAGTATCATTCAATCTTTTATGATAACCTCTCTATTAATACAACGTGTAATACAAATCCAATAATGCCGTTGCATCAATCCATTTTGTAAGTCAAATATTTTTAGTAATATTTTGATGATCATCTTGGCCTTTAACCAAAAAAAAACATTTTATATTATATAATTAAATATTAATTATCTAAGTATGTACTAGGGATACCTGAGTATTAGGAATTAATCGATTCGAATCGATTAATTCAATCGATTGTTAGGGCTGTGTTAACTCTGTAATTTAAGAAGCAAGTAGGTACAGATAATAAGCACTGTCAATATTTTCTTACCCTATCATACAGAGAAAATACTCTTTCGATGTCGTCCTTAGTCAGTTTTGTGGCACCCTGTTAACAGATTAAACATTTTTAATTAAAAAATATCTGTTCTTAATTATTGTGCAGTGTGCATAGTATTGTGTAAATGGTATACAGTTTCTGTAGAAGGATCATCATCAAAATGGATCCGAAATATCGGGTCATATTTAAAAATGTAAAATATCAAAGTAAATCTTAAAAAGTATATTATTTAGACATTATGTTTATAGTAACGTTATACTTAAAAAATCACTGACACTTTGTAGTTGCTCATGCTAATAAAATAAAAAAGATATGCTCAATTTCGTAGCTGATTCTTAGTATTCCTTTAACTTTGACTATTACAATTAATGTGTTATTGAAAAATACTAATATATTAGTTCAACCACGGCATGGCCATGGGGGGCTGGCTTGCTTGGTAATTAATAAATAAATAAATATAACTGATTGTTGAAAAACTTAAATTCGTCCTATAAATAATAGTTAATTACTTATGAATTGTTAATAAATAATTTCTCCGCGTGGCAAAGACCAGCCCTCGGCAATAGCTGTTGGGCGGTCAGTGGGTTTACAGTGTCCTCGCAAGCCGCAGACCCGACAAATGCTACGCGGCGCTATATCATATTATATCAACTAAGAAATTGCGTCATATCGAAAAAGTCCTACGTCACGAGCTGAAATAATACACATTATATATGAAGAATCTAAAGAGTGTTTATTTGTTGAGGGTAGTAAGACGTTAAGGAAGTTCACATAAACAAGGGCCCGTATACCAAGACGTGATCTTAGATGTGTTATTTTTAGTCGCGTCTTAATTTTTTTATATAATAGAGAGACTAGGTAGGTGAAATACCCCAGCCATATAACATATAACAAGATGCGCTGTCGGCCTATTTTGACTTTGGATATTCGTAAAACTTTCAAACCTTCATTTTTCGTAACATAAGTGCATTCAAAGAACGTAATATGTTTTAATGAAAAGCAGTTTGTAGTGTTATAAACTGCGTGAAGGTCAAATATACCTTTTTGTAATAGATTAGTTTATAAAAAAAAATCAATGCCTAGAAGAGGTTAAAATTTATGATAAAAAATACAATAACATTGCTAATTAACCTCCCTGATTCCGCTTTGTTTTATTTTGGAATTTAAATGTCTACTTGGAATGTATATTAAGTACTGTCTATAGTTTACGCGAGTAGTACACATTTAAATAAAATACTTTAACGGTTTAAAACGCGATATATTCGTTAAACTTATTTAATAATAATTTTCAAATAAGTTTAACTAATATATCGCGTTTTAAACTTTAACAGTGTTTTATTTAAATGTATATTAAGGTCTTAGATAAATTGACAATATCCAAGTTCAACGGTATACGACGTACGTAGAATAATTTTAATGATATTAAACTCAATGTTACTAGCTGATGTTGACAGAAGGTTCGGGAAGCCTTGGGAGCTTGCTCTAAGCTTTACCAGAAGCAAACATGATGTGGGAGCCGTTTAATTAATTCAGTAAACTACCATTAAGTTAAAATACATGAGCAAGGATCTAGTAAACCAGGTTTAAAGCATTATTGCTGGCTAACAATAGAAAACTGTTGTCACACTGTCCTATAGCGATAAAGTTCAGGAAATGTTTTTTTATAAAATCCTGTCTGTAGTTTACGCGAGTAGTACACATTAAAGTGAACTTACTTTAACAGATTAAAACGCGATATATATTACTAAAACTTATTTAAACATTATCAAAACGTCGGGCCGTAGTTAAAATAATTTTCAAATAAGTTTAACTAATATATATCGCGTTTGAAACCGTTAAATTATTTTATTTTTTGACGTTCGTTTTTTTTAATGATTTCGGAGTCACGTCTTGGGACACGGTACGAGGACTCACCTCAATGCCTTCCTATGTGCGTTGTGCAGACAAGCAGCAGTGTGGATAGACAGAGACAGGCAAATCAATAGTATGTGTAGTGTTTACTAGTGTCGTTCAGAGAAGAAATCAAGTACTTAGAGTACATGTGTAAAAAAATTAAGATCGAATTTATCCACAGCTAATTACATTCCATTTAAACTAGTACAGATTATGCTAATTGTAGTTAATATACTATTTTATCTGTGTAAAATCTAGATAGAGTTTAGTTCTAACAGACTATATATTTAACAGATTATCATAAAATAAAATGAATTAATAATGAAATGTGTATAATTAAAAATATAAAGCCACGAATCGGCCCTGATTACGAAAATTAATTTGTAAAATTAATTTTGGTACCATATTCCAAGACGAAACATTTTGATTGAGTGCAGTCCAGCTAAGGATTCTACATGCAGAAATAGCACTAAGCTCATTAAAATACGTAAACATTCAATTTCTAATCGTGTACTCGTTACTATTGGCCATGTAACGTTATGTTAAAATATTACATACTTGTTTTTCTTGGCTGTAATAATAAATTGGGCTCAGTGACGAAATATACTTTTTTTTTTAATTTAAAGGTTAACTTCTACTCATATATATTAAAAGGTGAAGGGTTTGTTTGTTGAAAACTTATGAACAGGTTCGAATTAAGAAATATTTTTTGTGTTGGTTGGAGCATTTATTGAGGAAGATTTAAGGTAACCAATTTATATTATTAATTATACATGAGACGACATCACATAATAGCGAAGAAAGGAAAGAAGTTTAGGGATTCTGTTGTGTAAAATATACCAAAAACATATGTATGGAAGAATTATTCTTCTTTAAATAATCTCAGCAACAGTATATGTCTATCTTTTAATATAAATTCGCAAGAACCGCTCTTATGGTAATCAAATTTATTCAAAATACTTAATATGGCGGAAAAACGTTAGCCAGGTCACCTAGTTTAATAAGCGTAATAAGGGCCAATTATGAAAATGTGTTGTGATTCTGTAAAGCGAAGCGTAGCTACTTGATGACAGAAGTTCAAAACATATGGTACATCATATATTATTAAAAAATGCCTAAAGGTATATGTTTAAGAACCACGCAAAATAAAAGCATGAAATTGACTTATGATTATATATATATAGATTAGATAATTCATAAAATATTTGTAAACTTTAATATTTATCACGTGATGGCGCTATAAATTATAAATTGAAAAAATTACGACTCAAGCAGGATTTGATCTGGCATCAACAGCGTTCCGTGTTGTTGCTGTAATTAACTCGGTAGCTCAATTTTTAATTCATACGATTATTTTTAGTACGAACACAAAAAGTCGTTTCGCTGAATAATAAAAACATCTTCTTCAATACAAACTTCATCAATACACCGACCGACCTTCGTAGTCGTGTTAAGATGGATTCTATCAATACGTATGGATACTGAATGGAAACATCACATGAATAGACAATGCTCCCAGAAGTGCTGTTTCATTGTGCTAGTCTTGTATTAAGAGCGACCGATTGATATATTTTTACGATGTTTATAATTGTTGCAAAAGGAAATGTGCTGGACCAATTAGGAAAATAGATATAGAAAAAATATTCATGCAGTTTAGGCAATCTCCTACTATTTACTTTATTTATTAACATACAGTAAGGGATTTAGGACTATAGAAGCACAAATTGTAGTATTCACTCTAAGTGGTTATATAAAACATATTTTATTATTTTTTAAGTGGTTAACTTATATTATTTAATATATGTGGCACTATAAAATGTGTGAATAAAATGTGCAAAGAAATTGAAGATGTATACCATAGCCCCGAGGCATAGACAATGAGTGATTTGAGAGGAGTAATGGCGTCGTTGTTTCACGATGGCGGGAAATTAAATGTCACTCACCTTGAACACTTGTCTGCAGAGAAAATTTTCTTTCACTGGAAGTAACCTAGAGCGTGATAAATGTAAGAATTTTATTATTGAAAACTTTAATACTTTTTTCACATGTTATTGGACACGATGGCACTATATTACATTAAAAAATCGATTATAAATTGGATGGCAGTTCAAGTCCTGTCCGTGTCGTATTTTTTTTCAATTCATAATAGATTTTTAATTCTAGTATTTTCAAAATCTGTAGTAAAAATACAAAATGCGTTAAAAACACTTTTAACCGTTTATTATAAACGAAATATATTAGTTAACCTAATCCCCCTCGTGACCTCGGCTGCTGCAAATCATTCGAATCGTGGTTAAAATCTAAAATTCGTTTAAGAATGTGTCAAATGTGACATAATATATATTATTTGCTTAACTATAAAATATTAATTCACACAAGCCTTAAAGACATATTTTAATTGATTATCAGCTACTTTTTAAAATTATGGGAAAATACTAGCGATACATACATAGTACATATTCCATGTTAAATAATTCGCTACACATTACATAGTATTCTATAAGAGAAAACTTTTCAACGTTGGGAGTCAACTTTGGATTGCTTCGCTAGTCCCTGCCAATTTCTAACCAGTAAGTTAAATGGAATCGACCTTTATGTGTAGCAACACAATTTCGTATTTGGCAGCTTCCCTTCAGCACAGTTTTTCAATGACGAAACGTAGACCTATGGGTACATACTCACTTCGCCATTTCCGAAAGTTGTAGTCGGCCATCTTTGTTTGAGTCGAAAACTTGGAGCTGTGAATTAATATTTTTTGGAGGTCAAGTTCTTCATGAATAATGAAAATTTATACACATTTTACAAAAGTAACAATGTCATACAAGCTATTACCATTGTATCTGTATATTCGATTAATTTATCTTCGGACACATCGTTGATTTTTTTCGCCTCTTTTAATAGATCGCGAAGAAAGTTCTGCAAAAAAAAACGTAATTTACAAAACTTGATAAGGGATTTAGGTGAACTACATTTAATGGTCTAAATTATTATTAATTTTGTATAATTACTGCCTTATAGTACAAATTTTGTTAACTAATTCCAAGAAAAAATGTAAAAAAAGATACGAAAAAAGTTATGCGATAGGTAGGACCTATCGAATAACTTTTTTCGTATCTTTACCGTTTTTTAATAGCTGTAAAACCAAGAAAACTACTAATGAAGAAGAAAAAAAAACAGATAAGAAAGGGAGTTTAACCTTTAATTCGTCAGCTTCTATGTATCCACTTCCATCAGTGTCATATTCTCGCCATATCTGAATGAAAATCAGACATTGGTCTGGTATCAACTTTGTGGTGTTTACCATCACAAGTTCAAATAGTACTTAATAATACTTAGACGAAAAATTAAGACCGTAAATAATTTATTTCTTTTAGGAAATTAATAATTACAATTTATTTCTGTAAAATTAAATTGACTGCCTTTATAGCTAAATGCGTAAATACGTTGCCTAACATTACATTAAGCTCGCGCGGTCCTTAGTTCGGATCCCGGAATAACAACCTTTTCTTGTTTCGGTCTGACAGGGCACAGAAGTTCAATCATCTACTTAATTCTAAATATAATTGATCTGTGGAAACAGGGGACGCGGAATTTCACTACGTTAAAATAAATATTATTATGAAGTCTGCTTTCGTGAAATAGTAGTACATTCATACCTTCATGAACTCAACACTGGATTCAAGCGGGTTGTCAAACCTGAAGAGTAAGAGGAAGTTTTCCTCCATTGGAAGAAGTTGTGCCAGCTGTAACGAAATTATACCTACATCACTAATTTCACAAGTCACGTTTCGCTGCAAGGAAGTTCAAGTCTGTCTATAGTTTACGGGAGTAGCACACATTTAAATAAAACACTAACGGTTTAAGACGCAATATATATTTCTTAAACTTAGTTGGAAAACTATTTTAACTACGGCCCGACGTTTCGGATGTTTTGCAGCAGCCGAGGTCCCGGCGGTACCACGGTCGTGTTTACCAATTATAATACGCGTTTTAAACCGTTACAGTGTTTTATTTAAGTGTGTACTACTCCAATGAATTGCAGATACTATTTAATTAAGCTTGCACTTCAACTTCAAACTTTTCTACTGGCCGTTTAATATTGGATATTTTTATTATGAAACCCTTAGAACTAAACTATGTTTTTGTACTATAATCATTATTACGCTACTAACCTCTCGAATATCAATTTTACCGTCTTGATTGTCATCGTAGGCTTCCATGAAACACGCTTTTAACTCCACAAGCGTCGAATCTGAGACCGCCTGAAGCAAAATAATGACGTTTAAATTATCTTTTAATCCTGAAGACGGTTTGAGTTTTTTTTAACGGTAGCCAATTAAAAAAAAAATTTTGGCAAGAAAAAAAGGTTTGGATTACTGTAAGAGTCTAAATTTAACTGTGAAGCGACAAGTGTGAAAGTAGCTAGTACTTTCATTACATCGGCCATAATTTTTTTGACTGAGCGAAATGTAGGATTTATTTTATTAGTCGTCACTTTCTAATTTAATTAAAAAATATTAAAATCTAAATGTAGATTTGCAGAAGTATTCCGACACTTCAAGATGGCGGGGTCAAGTGACGGCTCGGAATAATTGCGAAATTTAATTAAACCATTTCATTTAGAGCCGACTCGTCATAACCACAGACAATAATTAAATTTTACAACCTAAATTGTTTACTTGAACAACTTAATTCACTTCTCTTTTATTAACGAAAATTACTTTTAATTAAAGCGTAATCATTTCAAAGGACTTCATTTCTAACTAAACTTAAGCTTTGTGTATTTGTAATAAATACTTATCATAATACAAAGTATAAAAGAGTTAGTTTTTTTACACTCACTAAGAATAAATATATTTTTTCAGTTATATAGAGTTTTTTTATTAGCAAATGCTCTTCGCCGGTGTGATATTCTAACTAAGCTGCAGCGCCATCGGAAAGCTTATACAACATTCGGTAATAATGATCAGATGGTTGGAAGATTTTTTCACAAGGTGTCATTGTTTCACTCAAAAGTTTCTTAGATGAGATCTGGCAATCTCATCCTCACCTAAGTACTGTCTATAATTTACGCGAGTAGTACACATTTAAATAAAACACTTTAACGGTTTAAAACGCGATATATTAGTTGAACTTATTTTAAAATGATTTAAAAAAATGGCAGTGGTCACGAGGAGACTGACTCCCCGTTTTCTATTTCCGAAACTTCGGGCCGAAGTTAAAAATAACTTTCAAATAAGTTTAACTAATATATCGCGTTTTAAACCGTTAAAGTGTTTTATTTAAATCAACCTCACCTCCTTATTTTTGTTAGCAGAAGATTTGTAAGAAGCTAAAGATTCTGGAGTGTTTATTGACATGCAGTTCTTTTTTTGTTGCTTTTCTTTATCTCCCATGTTATACGAATTCTATTTCACGAAACGTTTTTTCTCTAATGATGGTCACATGTTATAATCGCCTTTTTTACCATTTCCATTATAAATAGATTGGAAAAGGCCAAAATAACGTCTGTCAAGTAAAAAATAAAACTCAATTCGATTTAAAGCCTTAGCTGCAAGTATATTGTCAGTTAGGTGCGATAAATTGGCGGAATTCCAAGTGTGTCCGTACCCCGTCCCAATCCTCGCATGGACGAATGGACTGCCAATTTTATTGTCGAACATATCAAAAACCCGATTTGTGTGCTTACCTTGGTTTACGAATACAAAGATTATGCATAAATATTGAGATATAGGAAATTAAAAAAAAATACATAACTTTACGCATCGCATTTAAATCTATATTGCCATTTACAAATTGAACCTGTCAATTTATCATTTAGTAATGAGTAGGAAACAAACATTTATTTATTATTATAATTATTTTTTTATTATAACAGGTAGGATACTGGCTGCAAACAAGTTTAAAAGATGAATAACGTTTTTCTAGTGAACGCGAAAGAAAATTCGAATTACAAAATAACGGAGTTGGCGCCAAAACAGGTGACATATTAATATTTGTGTTTAATATTTTTTTAAAGTGTGTGCAAAAGGTGTATGTTAATATATATTCCACTCGTATTGTTTGATTTATTTATCATTGAAAAGGTTATGTTTAATCGTTAGCCATTATATCAGAATATTAACTTTATTTATTCTTTCTTGGTACAATCAATCTAGTATTAATAATTTTTTTTAGTTACACTTTTTTAATGCGTCATTTCCTAATAAGATAGTTTCGAAAGTTCAAAAGCGATTAGCATAATGGATTTGGCTAGGCCTCCGCTTTGCTTGTAGACTTTCAAGTTAACTTGGCACAAAACGTGTTTCCGTAGCATGAAAGGCATTTCACATATTTTCAAGTTCAGAATAAAGAAACCAGCTGTTATTAGTATTCATGGCATCATGTGTTATGTAATTCAGCCAATAAAGCTAAGCAATAAAGTGGAATTGTAAGCACGGCTGAGGTCTGGCAGCATGCCAGCGTTCGCCAAATCGCAGTCCACAGATAAGACAAATTCGCCAATTTGTTGACTCGTTTGAGACAGGTAAGATTTTTATGAGCGTAAATATAATCTGTGGGTTTTTCCCCAAAATATCATAGATGAATAATAATTCCTATATCGAAATTTTTTTATGACCTAGGCCGATTTCTTTATGACTATGGGCCGCACCGCACTATAAATGCTTAAAATACGAAAATAATTAATATTATAATTAAAATTTAAAAATTGATTTGTAAATTAACCATTCGAACGTTAACTACGCATAATTTAACCACAACAAAGAATATGCCAAATCATATACAAAAATGGTTTTATTTTAAATATTATAGCTACTTGTATAAACCATTAAACCTTTTGCCGTTCCATTTTTTCGAACCGTCCTTGGTTCCTCTTCCGCAATCCCTAGACTTTGTAAATTAATGAACAAATATTCGTCTCACTTAGACCCTTTCCATCTATCGTATAACCGGTTTCGTCGGCTGCTCAAACTTACTCTAGAAAAAACTTAATAAGAATACAAAGAAAATGAAGAAATGTATTTACCTATTTTTAGTTAAATAATTGCACCTTAGCTTTAAGATTGTCTCACTCTGTTTAGACTGTAATTTATTATTAAGATTATTAATACTGTACCTATAATATTCTTTGTTGTACCACACACCATGTCTGTTTAATGCATGTAGTGCCTACCTTAAATAGGATATGCAGATAGCTATACTCTTTATATTGTCAATATTATATATTCATACTCTGTAATACCCGCTGGCGGGCCTTTTTTTAAATAAATAAATAAATATATTAAAAAACCCTTCCCTTTTGGAGAGAAACATTTTAGAGTTAGAGTCGGTATTAAACTATATAAAAGTGCCCTTTGAGACAGTAAATGACCAAACTTTAACTAAGATAAATGTACGTATCTAATAGTAAAGTAAAGAAACTCCACGTCGTCCAAGACTAACGTTACTTAAAAAGTAAAAAGTTTGTAAGTTCAGTTAGAACTGGCAAGTTTCATTCATTGATATATCTACTCAATACTTTTGTACATTACGCGTACGCTCGGACTTTTTAAACGTGAAGTTTTGCAAGAGTTTTGTTAAGAACTTTTTCTACAGTTTTGCTTTCTTGTATATTTTTGCTTTTTAATATTGTGTAGTTGTCTGTTGTGTTTTGGCATTATATAAATTTTATATAATGTCAACTACCTACTAACATACAAACCGTATAATTGTCTCTTTTAATCAAAATTTGTGTAGTACCTACTTTTTGTGTTAAAGATTTAACAATTAACTTTAAGCCACAATTCACTGCTAATATCTGTAATAGTAAATATTAAAATCGATTTTTTCCTGTTTACTACGTACGTAAACGTACCATGGAAGGTAATATTAACTTAGCGCTTACAGTTGGCCTATAGAAATGATAATTTTACTCAGGTGATGTCATCTTTTCAGGAGAAACAATATCGTGATTGTCCTAAAGGCTTGTTTAGAATGGTGCAGGTGGTAAATGCAAATATATTTTTGGTCCAGCCTATAAACCTTCACAGCTAGGTACTGTTCCAATAGAAACATTTTAAGGTTTTAAAGCCCTTTAAGGTTGGGGTTTCACTGCTATCGGCACTAAATGATATAATAAGGAGGACCAATGATTTAACGCAGGTCGTGCTTTCAAATCTGGTATTTGATGGCACACATGAATGAACCTATGAATGGTTCTTAGAAAAGTCATCTACTAAAATAAAGATGGAGCTCTGTTCATCTCCCCCGTCAGTAGCTCTGTCAGTTCCCCTGCAATCACGGTCGCTGCAAAGCATACAAAACGTCGACACGTGTTTAAAATAAACTGTTAATAAGTTGACTCATACATTTCGCGTTTTAAACCGTTCATAGTATTTAAATGTGTACTGCTCGCGTAAACTACATACAATATCTAAATTAAAATTTCATTTTAGAGATGCTGATTTTAAATGCCGGAAGAAACAACAAATAGTTTTTGTCAGACACAGCACAGAACACCGATTATCTAAGTAGTTATGTATTCCGTGATGTACGACCAAGGGGAAACAGTCTACTTCTACAGATAAAATAACTGGAATAATATCATCGTTGTAAATAAATAATAATCTGTACGTAGTCTAGGTACGCCATTGTAAGCAACGCCTTAACTAAATGACCGATAAGTGAGATAAAGATATAAGTTTCTTATCACGATATGCATTTACTAGTCATACATGTTGTATATCGGTTTTGTTAACGCGTTAGATTACTATAAAACTAACCATTTTCAAGTGTCTGGGATAAAAGAAAGAAAAGAAGAAAAGAAAGTAAGTAAATATTCTAACGTCCTATTTTTTTCTTACAAATCCTTTTCATTTAGTCTGTCCGATTGTTCTAGAATAATAATTTAATACTAGGAATTAGATATTATGAACATTCATTGTTGTATATTAGTCTATATAAATTAGTTGATTCAAAGCAGGACAAAATATTAACAATCTGTCTACTAAAGGAACATAAATGTTTATATTTTTATCACACAGGGGAAAACCGTGAATTAACTATCAATCCAACTTGTTCGTCGTTTCATAAGTAAATGTAATTTCTGAAATATGAAAATGTCTTAACTAAGAAAAACTAAGTGTGGAAAACCTTAAATTTTAACGTTTTTTGCCGTAGTTAAAATAAATTGTTAATATGTTGTCTACTACATTTCGCGTTTTAAACGGTTAAAGTTGTTTTATTTTAAAATAAACAAAAGTATTGTTTTAGATGAAATCCTTGGTGGTATTAGTAACACTGATAGTGGTGGCCATCAGTAGTGGCGCAGTAGTGTATCCCACAAACCGATCTAGCTTCAGTGTAGGCTATATTACTACTGGGGACAGATTGTTACACAGGTAAGTACGAGTATTAAGAACGAACAGAAATTTCTTAAATATTATTGTGTTATTTTCCTATGAAACCTTTATATTTTTCACATGATGGCACTATATAAATTGAAAATCGATATTAAATTAAAAAAATGTACGACACAGGCAGGACTTGAGCCGGCATCCACAGCCTTCCGTGCTAGTTCTAACTAATTGAGCTACCGCGTCATTTATATTAACAAACATATGTCAAATTTTTCGTTGACGTCAACATTTGTTTACTGTCTCAGATTTTTTTAATAGAAGTAAATTATCACTCGTGGTTTAGTCGTTTGGTCTCGGCTTCGAGCCCGTGCGTCTCATATTTGTTTCCAATCTATAAAAAAATAAATGTTAAGCCGTCTTAGCCCGCTAAATAATATGTAAAATATAATAATAAATGAAAAAGGTTTCACGCGAAAAGCGTACACTACAAAGTACGCTTTTCTATCTCAGCCAAACACATCAAGTATCTAAAGTAAACCTTCATATATCTATTTTTCAGGCAATACCTTCGCAAGCTACCTGTCCCTAATGCGATTCAGTACCAGGACTTCGTATTCCGTGGAAATTCCACCACTAGGGTAGCAGCGATTACAGCAACCGAAATGGGGTACAGCCAGAATGCCTATGCGGTGATAACAGCTGGGGGGGTAGGTTATAACTACGTCACAGTTAGGGTGCAGAGTTCTAGAAGTCTGGGGTACGATTACGTGATTGAAGTTTGGGGGCGGGGACGATAAATGTAACTTACGTTCATTCTATGCAGCGTAAATTAATATATTTTTTAAATATTATGATCGTAGCTTAGATGTAGTTATTATATTGTAACTTATATAGTTATTAAACGTGGTTAAAATTGTGCTAGATTTTATTATTATCCTATCTATACGACACCAAGAACGTAGTAGCCATAGTTTACGTAAAAATCAGTTAATGTTTATTTTAAGAAATAGAGTTCTTGAAATAAGTCTTATATTTTTTCAATAAAGTCCTAGAACATACATTAGAATGGAAATTGCTGTCGACAGCAATAAAAGCTATTTTTTCCCAAAGGTCGAATAGTAAAAAAGTTGTTTTCTCGACGTTACTAGACGTAAATCGTCAATAATTGTGGTGTATCCACGGTCTAAGAGTAGTAAAGAGAAACGCAGTAGGGCGGTAAAACGCTCTTTTTAAAGGACGTACATAATTGCATAGATTTTTGTTCCATTGAATTAAAAATGTATCGCAGTTAACACGGGTCTCTATGCTAATATGGCCGCGAATTGAAAATAAATACAATAAAGCCGATTGTTGTATTAGTAAGTATAAGTATAAGTACCTATATTAAAATTTCTGTTCTGTAAACTATAATAAGCATTCTAACTTTAATTAAAGTTACTTAAGTATGACATTCTACATGCAAGCTACATTTCTGGCTACAAATTTGAACTAATTTATTGGAGGCCAGAACGTAATTTAGGCCGGAGTTCATATTTCCATCGTGCTTAATTATGTCGCACTGTTTCTATTCACTCTGTGCTTAAATCCGGAATACAAAAACTATAACCGACTTCTCCCTGGAGTCTAGCCAAACTAATACCTATAACGCCCTGGATTTATCTGTAAGTAAGATACAAATACGAGTCGTAAAGTTTTTGAAGGTTTTTCTTATTTATCAGGTGAAGGAGGTCGTGTGAAGGTCCTTTGCAAATTTTGCGAAGGCGAAATTAAATTGAATACATTACTCTGACTGAAATCATTATACGTAAATATGTATCTTAGATAAATCAACTTACATGTGTGAAATGTTTAAGCGCGTAAAATGCCTCAATTTAATAATACTTAATCTTATTGTAGGATTTTTTCACAATGAGAATTAAATTCTTTAATAGTTACATTTAAATAATTATGTTTTTTAATTAAATACAAGATAGAATGATTATTTTTATGGATAAGTCATTTTAATTGCGTAGAATTATTATGCGTATTGAGTAACAGACGCCATCTTGTTTTAACATGAGACTAAAAACAAGATGGCGGAATTATGACTCGAGAATGTTCCACAAAAGTAGGTATATTTTCTAAATTATAGTGTAGTAAAGGCCACGTACAAGTAACATTTAGATTCCTCACGTCCTAAGTCAAAGGTCATTTCTGTCGATATCGCGTTCAGACTTTCTGACAGATTTTATTTGAGACTTAAGCGATCACTTTTACGGTTATTGTTGCAATACATTCTCGACATTAGATTCAACTAACCATGAACGTGTATATTAGACAAAACTAGTCTGTGGTGTAAATTGGACATATTTAATCCTCTAATCTCATTAATTAAAAACTGAGCTAGAGAAGATGCTCGTAAAAGTATAAAATTAAGCATAATTATTGTAGTATTGTAACAGCGAGACGAACACAGTTTTGTGTCCCGAGGCAAGAAGATGATTAGACTTCTTGTGACCTGTTTGTATGACATTTTTTATTCCCCTAGAAATAAAAACCAGGTTCCCTCGTCCTTAAGAAAATCTAAGGCAACACGTCTACCCTCGAGTTACGGTGGTCAGAACATTTAAACAGTTGAAAAATTTAATTGAAGACTTGCTTCTGTTTGTGGGGCATGGGGCAAACATTATTGTTTTTATTATAAACATCGGGCTCATTGGTCTTATGGTAGCAACATACGGCTAATTAACGGGTCCTGGATTCATTCCCACCGGGTCCAACATTTTTCTAATAATTTTCCTGAAACATGTTGGGTCTTCGCCTGGAAATCTGGATATTAAATGGATGGGAGGAATATCAAAATTCTGTACCATCTAGATTACAAATTACCAGCCACAGATGAAAAAGACGTGAAGTTTTATCGCGTTTCGGTTCCAACCTGTGAATTTCCGAAATTCCAAAGCCAAAATAGGTTGATAGCACATCTTATTGAGAATTGTAGCTAGGAAATTTCACCTTCCATCAAGTGAACCCCAACTTGTCTATCCTCCTCTATCATAAAAAAAACTGTTCAAACTGGTGATTGGACTTCCATTCACCACTCTATCATACAACTTTTAGTTTCCTGTTATTTGGACAGGCAAAGCTTATTATAGAACTAAGTGAAACAATGTCCACAAACTAGTCATATTTTACTTATTAAAAAATAAATTACTAATCTATCAAGCAATAACGATTCAATTAACTAATTACTTTCTTAACGGCACGTCAATATAAAACGCGACCAAAACATTCCATCCACAAACATGAAGTGTACTGTTATTTTAATAATTCTAATGCTAGAAATAATAAGTGCTAAGCATTTTGATGGATACGATGGTGATTCCAAAGAACTACGTCACGAGTGGAAGGAAGAGAGAAAAGAGTTGAAGAGAGAGAGAAAACACTGGAAGAAGATGTTAAAAAAAGAAGAAAAGGGAAAGATGGATACGCCTTTATCGAAATACTCTATATTCTCTGCAAATGACTGTCCATCTGGATTCGTGCGGATCGGTTGGAGATGTATTGGCGTTGATTATTGATTGAAACTACATATTTTAATACTTTTTACTATTTAGTCTACTTCTGTAAGTAAAATAATACTAAAAATCATATATTTTTGTATGTCCCGGTTACAATGATTGCCTATTGTTTTAAGAGGTATTAGAAACTAAAGATATGTCTAATGCCTTAGACTCTTATAAACGCTTACTTATGTCACATTTTATAAGCAACATTCTATCTCCATGCGTAAAGGCTTTGCCCAGCATTGGGTAAGCTAGAAGTCCTACATTCACAGGAAAGTAATATAAAATATTGTAGTCTGGCAGGCAACATAAATTATTTAATTGTATGTGAAAAATCAATAAAATAATTTAGCCCTGGTTCAATTCAGAGGAAAGTTAAACCTTATATTTATAAAATATATATTGATTTATATAAAGTAAGGTGTTATGTGTCTAGTTTTATGCAATAGGTAGGCATTTAATCTTTAATCATAATTATATCACATATTTGTTACCGCACTAGAGATATTCCAACCGCAATACTTAATTTACACTTAAAATAATGCATTTAGACAAAAACTGTCCCACAATGAACACATTACAAGTACTTTTCTTATTTCTTATATTTTCTACATCCACGTTCGTTAATTCGAAAGAATTAGGACGAAAAGAGATGGGACTACCACGCGGTAGGAGAAGTGCATTTAAAGAACGAGACAGTGGTATACAGTTTCCGTCTTTTGCGGCGTTTGAAGCCGAATCCTGCGCATCTGGATACGTGAAAATTAACGGGATCTGTGTGCATATTGACTATTAAGTGTAGTGGTTGAAATAAAGTTTATAAATTCTGATGAAATCTCTTCTTTAAGTAAATTTAAAAAATATTACTGGTATTTACGCAAAACCTTTGTCAGTAACTAAGCGTGGCATTAGCTATAAAATATAATGTTATTAAAATTATTTCGATTTTTAAATAAGGATCTTTTGAATTTTTATTTTTTAATTTAAATTAATATATGCTTAATATTGCTGTTTTTTTATTTTTTTTGATTCTACATTTATCGTCTGTGATCTAAATTTTTCGTTATTTACTTTTAAGATGAGTAATTATAGATTTAGTATCTGTAAAAAATTCTATATTGCTACAGAGGTTAGATATACGTAATAACAACATTTGACAGATAGCAAGTATCTACAATTAAATTAAGTATTAGAGAAATAATTAAAACGCCAATGTTGGTTTTCATCTGACACATGTAATTAACTCCACAGAGTGTAATTAACTTGGGCACTTATCTGTTAAATGCAATAAAGAGACTAGTATATGTAATTTTCGGTTAAACTATGCCAAAACTCTTAGCTGGAAGACTGAAGTATAATTAACAATAATTAATGAAACATCCACATGATAAAACAACATTTTGACTAAATCTTTCATGTTATTTTAAATATCAAAGAAGTACTAAAAATGTGGTACAGACTCGAATATAAAGGAAATAAATAATAATATAATCTTCACAATAGGAACGATTCTTATCTTTTTATAGAACTGTTGTAAAGACACCACAATTCTGCAATAGAATATAACCTGATTTCACACACATTCGATACTACATATATATGCGTGTATCAACAATTATTTTAATAAGAAATTATTGGAAAAATAGTTAAGTAATATCCTTAGTACTTACATCGGGACTGATATCCGTGAAATTGGCACTAGACACGAACTCTCGCAGGAAGCCATCCAGCTCCGTACCTTCAATGTAGCCGTTGCCTGGTGAATGAATTTTTTTATTATATTTTAAGCTTACTTACAACAAGACTGTAAACTATGTTTGTTTATTAAATATGATTTTATAATTTTTTTTTCAAGAAAACACATTCAGATGATACACAAAAAAGTCATATTATTATTAAATACTGTTTTACCGATAAAAAATCGTACCTCCACATTACATAGCGTCAAAAAGAAAGAAAGAAAAAAGCGTTTCATTATAGAATACGTAAGAAAATCTACTAATGCTTCGCCGATCGTTTTACACGAAGGAGGGCGTCGGCGCTTCTAAATATGTAATAAAAATCAATTTTATCAGTCCATCTGTACACAGGCTAATCTGTTAGCTAGAACTTAGCCAAGCGATGACTGCATGGGGTTACACTACACCAACCATACACTCGTAATATCTAAAGGTGTGTTGTCGGTCTATTTTGACTTTGGATATTTGGAAATCCAGAGACTGAAACCGCGGTTAAACTTGACGGCTGTCTGTGTGTGTGTACGGCCAGATTTTCAGTCGACGTCCGATGTCATGTTTTAGATCCAGTGGGGGTTGTTTATTAGCCATACTTAGTACCATTGTATTAATGAGCCAGTCAAGATAATACAACATATAACAATGTTAAGACATTATTGTTTTTAACATCTTATTGATGGAATGGCAGAATTATATAATTTAAAAATTTACATTGAAAAGAATTGACGACACGGGCGGGAGTTGAAGCGGTATCCAATACGATCAGCAGCACTGAATTTGAAAGTCATACCTTTGTCGTATTTAAAAAAAAATCTCAATAGATTTTTAATTTATCTGTCCTTTTTTACTTTTAACCTTTGCATTATAATTTCATACTGTGTGTCTGTGACGTCAATTAATTATGACAATAGGATTCAGCGGAGAGCAATGCCAGTTCATGAGTACTGAATAATGTTACCTAATTGACTTATACGTCAATCTAAGCCCGTAAGTGGATTGATCGAAGCCGCTCTTAGCTGACTATTTTACACTACGGATCTCGTTTTAGCCACGATTAAGAGACAATCCCGGATCGTAGATATTTCGAGATTGTGATCACATTTAGATAAAACACTTCTACGGTTTAAAACGCGATATATATTAGTTAAACTTATTTAAAAAATATCTTAACTACGGCCTGACGTTTCGGATGCTTTGCAGCAGCCTTCGTCATAGGGAGACTGAAAAAGGAAGGTGTCTCTGACGTCAAAGTAAAAAACTGCTACGCTAGCGCCATCTGTTCCGTTTCTTCTGTCCGAATTTGGTATTTGTATCGTAATCACAATTGTTTATTATATAAATAAAAAATCTATTTAGTTTTTAAAAATGTGATAAGACGAGAGGAACTTAAACGGGCATCCACATGTGCTGCTGCTCTAACAAAACCTTGTCCTAGACGTCATCGTCAAATTTCTATAATCCATTGATACATGCACATCTCGTTCAATGTAATTTCACCTAGTAGTACTTATGTATTGAGGTTCAATGTCATATATTTTGCAGCTTAAGTAATTTTTGAAGATAAAATTACAGATTGTAACGTATGATAACTTTAATATTTTTCACATATTAATATCGATATGTTTTTATTAATTTTCTGTCATCACGTCACGTTTCCACTTTACCTATAATCAGAGCCAAGAAATATCACATCCTTACAACCGTTTAGTGTCTGATTACTGGACACAGCTATTATTTCTCTTTGAAGAGAGTGTTCTGGTGTTTCAACGCTCAAATGCAAGTACTCTGTTGCTCCGGTGACTATCTCTACATCTTTATAACAAACTAGCTGTGTCAGCGACTTCGTTCGCCTAAAATAGTTATTTTGGGCATCTAAATTTGTTTTTGCAAGCCTTCTCTTCATCTTTATAAATTTAAATTGTTACCTACGACATCGGTCGCGTCCCGTCGCTCGCTCGTGCAAGATTAATCTTAAAGATAGACATGTTCTAAGGAACCATGTATTCTTTCATACACATTTTTTAGGTGTCTTGAACCGTTTTTGTTGGAAACCCACAAGGATGAATACATTTCCCCGATTTCCTTTCAACATTTCCCACTGTTTCTTCGCTTCTATTCCTAGTCACACCACGACGTTTTATAGCCTCGAGCTTCCTTAATAAATGCTCTAACTAACACAAAAATGTAAGTGTTAAGGTCGAAATTACACTGTGCGGCAGGTGCATGTATCAATACGTTGAAAAAATTCGACGATCAGGTGTAGGACTCGGTAGCTCAATTGGTAGAGCAACAGCACGGAACGCTGACGATGCCGGTTCAAGTCCTGCCCGAGTCGAAAATTTTTTTCAATTTATTTTCGATTTTTAAATTATATAGTGCCTTCATGTGCAATAACATAGAAAAAAAATATTTTTTCAATTTAAACAAGTAGTTACAGAGATTAGCGCGAGCGCGTTCAAACAAACAAACAAACTCTTCAGCTTTATACATTAGTATAGATTTTCTGAGGAAAATTCCAATTACTGGCTGAAGACTTCAAACCCGGGCCTTCATAATATGCAGACGAGTGCACTAACCCAAACTTCAACGAACGTTCATCTACTTACGTGCTCGTACATTATGTAATATTATTGCATTGAGACATATCTCAGTTTATTCCATTTTAAAATCTACAACAAACTGTCCTTCAATATTTATTCGAGCAGGTCGTTTGGAAGCGTTTGTTGAAACATGTCCTACTAACTGAGACTTTATATTCTAGCTTACATTTGATGTAAAGCACGTAAAATAAACATTGTACGAGTAGCTTCAAATTTGCAAGATGGGAAGATGTCTTGGCGTGAGCACAGATTAAATATATAACAGTAATACTACCTAATATATATACATTAAAATTCAATAATAAATAAACACAAATGAGTTTATTTCATGTGAATTAGATCTCTTAATGGTGAGATTTGAAAGAAAAATTATGTATCTCTTGAAATAAACGCTTGAACGGTTTATAACGCAAAATATGCTAAGCATTGGAAACATTATACTTATATACTTAGATATCTCGCGTTTTAAGCCGTTAGAAGTGTTTTATTTAACGGTAAGATTATTTTATTTAACTTAATGGACAAAAGCACTTTTCAGCTTTGTACATTTAACCTGTTCTACTCTTTTAAATTCTTTTAGATTACTTATCCTGTCAGGTTTTATGCAGACTCTTTTAAATTCGTACATTTTTGTTTGGTCTACATTTTTTTTGCTGAGAATAAAATTCTTAACATGCATACCACTTAGCAATGATTAATTCCGTCAACATATACGTTAGTATTTAAATAAAGCATTTGAAGGGTTTTAACGCGAAATATATTGTCTCCCCGTGACCATGAATGATGCAAAGCAACTGGAACGTCGGGCCGAAGTTGAAGTAATTTTCAAATAAGTTTAATTAATATATATCAGGTTTTAACCCTATAAAGTGTTTAAATAAAACACTTTAACGGTTCAAAACGCGATATATTAGTTAAAATTATTTGAAAATGATTTTTAACTTCGGCCCGACGTTTCGGATGCTCTGCAGCAGCCGGGGTCACGTGAAAAACCTATAAAGTTTTTCATTTAAATGTATAATACTCGCTTAAACTTCAGACAGTATATACGTTAGTAGATACTATACTTCTTCGCTTATTATAGTTCATATTGTAACTGTGTTTATGATCCATCGTTATTTGTTAGTAATGCTTAAAATAAAATCCAGTTTTCCTCCGTTGGTGCGACCATTGTATACTGTTCGTAGGGTAGATTTTATTTATTAACTAGGTAGTTAGTTTACCCGATTCTTAATTTATTGTTTTCCCGAAAATTGAACTTAGGACCTCACGCTTATTCCAATACTAAGCAAAGAGTTATTGCCTCTCAAAAACTTCTAAAGTTCTAACTACAAGACTACAGTTATGTATAGTAACGCTAATATTACGAGTAAAACGTTTTGTTTTTTACATTGTGAAGCAAAAAACATAATTCCCATCAAACTGAATGAAAAATTTCTTGACCCGTTTCTGAAAACAACGCAAGTTCCATTTTCCGTTGCCAGCCGGAATAATAGTTGGAAAATGAAATAATTACAGGAAAAACTGGAAACATTTAGGAGAAATTATGTTTTCAGACATCCGAGTTCTATAGCGTGTAGATTACGCGACTAGTACACATTTAAATAAAACACTTTAACGGTTTGAAACGCGATATATATTAATTAAACTCATTTGAAAATTATTATAAATACGGCCCGACGTTTCAGATGCTTTGCAGCAACCGTGGACACGGGGAGACAAATCATGTTGGAATAACTTTAACTAATATATATTGCGTTTCAAACCGTCGAAGTGTTTTATTTAAGCACTTTATTTTATGTATGTTAAATTCTGTCTGTTAGGAAAAAGATTAGACATAACTATTTTTGTTTATATATTTTGAACGGGATCGATAGTTATAACATAAGCAATATTTAGTTTTAAACCTCAAACATTAAATCCAGGGGTCCTGTTGATTTTTGAAACAACAGCTGGAAAAAGCCGGACATTAGATGAGTGGTATAGCAATATAGTAACTTCCGTCCGCGTCGCGTTCACAGATTGACGGGTGACCTCGCGTTTCCGTCCTGTCTGTAGATATTCGAATGGCGAAAGCCTATATAAATACTTGCATGGAAAATGTTCTTATCATTCCAAATAATATAAACAAGATTGCATTGTGAATTTTTTTTAATATTGGCAAAAGGGGGGGGAAAAAAAAAAAAAAAAATTTTAAAAAAAGAAAAAAAAAAAACGGGGGGGGGGGTTGGGATTACCCCCGGGGTTTGGGGCTGTTCCCCAAACAATTTCCCGGGTAGCCCAATCGATTCGATACGATCGGAACAAAATCGATTTATTTTGACACATTATTTATATATATAATTTGCATTATGTAAATTTGACAAAAAACTTTTCTGGGACGGACGTTATTTTCTACATTTTAACATTATTTAAGACCTTTATAGGCGAAGCTTCTAAAATTATAGGCAAACTCAATGTTGAAAGTTAATTTAACAATATACTATACGATTTATCATTAAACCTGGTTTATTGTTGCGTGTTAAGATGAATTAAAAGGTAGAAAGTATTATTTACCATTCTGGAAGTACCTCGCAGTTTCAAGGTCTCATATAAAATTCTTATCAATCCTTATCGATTAATATCACGCTAAGGCATAGTACTTGTAGAATACTAAGTACTACAACATAATAAAGGACTGGCGCCAGTCCAGGCCACAAACAGACAAAAGAAGAAGAAGAAAACAAAAGAAGACGGCCCGACGTGTCGGATGCTTTGTAGCAACCGTGGTCATGGGGAGACAAATAAGTTTAACTAATATATATTGCGTTTTAAACCGTTAACGTTTTTTATTTATACTATGATTTTATATATTTTGTTATGATACAGGAGGACAGACTTAGCCGTATAACATCATTGTCACATCATGAAGAAGCTGGTTAAACTATTTTGGCTTTGGATATAAGGGAACGCTGGAATCACAGATTGAGGCAATAACGTGGATTATTACTTTAAGATTGTTTTATATGTAGGACCGGTCGAAACATTTCGACCAAAAAATGAAAGTCGAGATTTTCGAGACGGAGACGAACATATAAAAATAATAGAAAATATTTCTGTCATTTTGATAACATTGCAAGAAAAAAGGAAACAATATTTATTTGCTATCAGAAAGTTGTATATTATTTAAACACCCGTAAACTTAACTGATTAAGTTTGTCTTAACACAAATTACTTATGAATTTAACTATAATTAAGTAGCTTTCAGATTACAAAAAGGGCCTTCAGAAAATCTCAAAGCCCTTCACAAGGCATTACACTAATTTTCCGGTGGACTTAGGCTTTTGACCTGTTACGCGACAAATATAGTATATAATATTACGGAAACAAAAATAATGATAGACAAACATTAAACTTACATCCCGTCCAATCCCGAGAATTCTTGTGACCCCGTGGGATCCAAGCTATGGTACACATGCAGACAATAACATCAAATGTGTAAAAATTTGATTATCTATCTCTACTAATATACGTATAAAGCCGAACAAGTTTGTTTGTTTGTATGTATGAACGCACCAGTCTCAGGAACTACTGGTTCGAATTTTAAAATTATTCTTGTGTTGGTTAGAGCATTTGTTTAAGAAGAGCATTGTCCATAGGATAACCGCAGAAACAGTCAAATACGTAAGAAAACAGGGAAAAATATTAATCTTTATGGGTTTCCCTTGCTTTCGCAGCGTATGAAAGCAATATGTATATTATACCAAAAAAAGACGTATGGCGGAATGATTCCTCTTTAAACGAACTAAAAAATTTACATGACACTTTAAGATTAACTTACGAGAACGACGCAGCACGGCAGACATCGTGGGTAACAGTTACAATGGAGGTTTGCAAAAACGCGTTTCTACGCGGCCAAAGCCGCTGACACAGCAAGTATTTAAATATATCTCATTTCTAAGAGTCAACGTCTCTTTTTAATGTACGCATCGATTCCCACGAATAAATATAATAACACAGACGTCAGAATTTCTAAGCAACGCCAAGAATATCAAATCAAAAGAGATACAGCGTACCGTTTCGAGGAATCTTCATTTTCGAGTTATTGTTCAACCCACGCGTTTATACATAGAAGTCCACGCACGATTGTAGAATTCCTCGTTTTATTGTATGACGGCGAAATAGGGCAAATATTATTTCTTTACCTTTGTTGAGCATATATCTCAACTCACTAATAAAAAAAATTGAATTATTATTTATATAAATAGTGTTGACGCGAGTAGGACACATTTAAATAAAACACTTAAACCGTTTAAAATGCGACATATATTAATTAAACTTATTTGAAATTTATTTAAACTAAGGCCCGACCTTTCGGATGCTTTGCAAGAGTCGCGGTTACGGAATACTGTCTGTAGTTTACCCGAGTAGTACACATTTAAATAAAACACTAACGGGTTTAAAATGTGAATTATTTTAACTATTTTCAGACGTTCGAATGCTTCGGAAGCATCCGAAGGCTATCTTATCTCAATTGATTGTATATTTTTTTAATTAAATACTCTCTATAGTTTACGCGAGTAGTACACATTTAAATAAAACACTTTAATGGTTTAAAACGCGATATATCACTTAAACTTTTTTAAAAGTCGTTCCAAGACGTCGGGCCGAAGTTAGAAATCATTTTTTAATAAGTTTAACTAATATACGCGTTTTAAGCCGTTAAAGTGTTTTATTTAAATGTGTACTACTCGTGTAAACTATAGACAGTATCCCCAAGTCTTTACCAAAACAAGACTGGCGGTATCCTTAAATTCTGGTATTCTTGTAAACACAACAAACGCCTAGGGCCAAGGTAGTTACATCATCCCACACTAAGGATATAGCAATCGACACTCCAGACTTATGAGCTGGTTAAGCATACTTCATTTAGAGTTCTCAGAATATTAAATATAAACAATCATCGTTAGTATGGTGGAACTGTGAAAATTATATTCAGTCTAACATCGACCATCTAGTAGTTAAGTCTAGTTTTAACAATATATTCGCTCTTTAAAAAGGTCCCTCGGACACGTAACAATTTGACTAGGTACACTACACACTCCAAACTATAATAAATAACATTAATTATACTAATACCCTTTCCGATCCGGTTTAAATAACGACGTGTCAAATATAACGTGAAATGATTATTTTTGTAATGTCCAAGCTAATAACGTATAATTTTGATAAAAGCTTTACAACGAATAGATGATATCTCTCAAATACAAAGGATATTGTTTGAAATCCATTGTTTGTATTCGTTTGATTGAAACGTGCTTGGGAATAGAGTTGTTTGTTTTATTAAGATATTGCTGGTATCGGAATCTTTGTTTGGTCTGTTCAGTATCAATTCGATTGTCAGCAAGGTTTGATTGTGAGGGTAAATGAGAATTATACGCGCGAGTTGAACTTTGATACAGTATTCATGGCTGAAACACGATAATTTATATTGTCTACCTGTTTAAAATGAAACTTGGCGGTAAAAGAAGTGGCGGCGAGTTTCTTGCCAGTTCCTCTTGTTTGTTCTACGCCCTTGATTTGAGAACTGGGAGTATATGTATATTTAGAGTCGTTCATAAGTGTACCTACGCAATGTTAAGCAACACGGTTAAATAACTAGGGAGGCGATCTAAAAACTAGCAATAAAAAAGTTTTCCCTTTTAAATTTCTATCGGTTTCGTTCGCTTCTTTTACAGACAAATTGTTGATCAGACTTCTTCAGAAACAATCTATTGCTTCGCTGGGATTCCAATTCCAGGTCCTAATCTTAGAAAACTCGCGCTTAATGCTAGGCAACACTAAGCATTAAGCTATAGAGGCAGTCTAGAACCGAGGTAGAGTGGGGGCGGGGGATTTAGTCAAGTTGTAAAATAGAAATTAGAACGCGACATGTAATCGCTAATATATTCACAAGCTCGGAGTGTTGAAGGCTATGTTGGAGAGTTTCAAAGGAATTTTTAAATGAAGGTAAAGGTCACTTTTTGTGAATGCAGCGCCGGAAGTAAACATTATTATCTAACATAAAACCAACTACGCACGTGCCAAAATGCCAAACGCGGGGAATGTTTGAAGGATGTATGATTGTGTACTTTTCGATCTTGTGAATTATAGTTAACTTCAATATTAAATAAACAATTTATAGATTAAAATACACTTAAAAAAAACACAAGCCGATAAGAATTTAAAAAATTATAAATTGAAAAAATTAAATGAATAAAAACAATATTTATTTTTATGTATTCCGAAAAACAATACAAAAGAGACAATTTGTAATTCTATATTGTGTTAACCGCGTTTTCCTGTTTTCGTAGCCCCTAAGAACGACAGACGTTTATTTTAATTGGATTTATCGTCTGTCCTCTATAATTCTATATCCTGTACAGCTACAGTAAGCTCTCTGACAAAACCATATTTATGACTAGTGACTCAGCGGTTTGCTAGGAATAAAAAATAAGCCTCAAATCTATTCGTTTCTTGGCATATTTATATTACCTTCATTTATAGAACTCGTAAATTATTAATTACAATCGGTGCTCGTTTAAGTTTAGACCGCCTCTGTAGCCAAATGGTTAAACGTATTGCCTAGCATTGCGTTAAGAGGTCCTGGGTTCGAATCCCAGGTAAACATAAAATTGTTTCGGTCGGGCAGGGCACAGAAGTCTGATCAACTACTTGACCGTTAAAAGAACGGTTCAGTAAAACGGACACAGAAATGTGTTTGCCCCTTGCCCCACGAGGGGAAAACGGGCTTACATTTTTTTATTTTTTTTGCTCGTTTAATAAATGCTTTTACCAGTCAAAGTTAATAAACAACACATTTATGTAGCAAATATTATGATTGTATTATATGTTCAAAATGATGTTTTTATCTTGGTAATATTTCAAAAACCTACAGCTTGACAAAATTAAAACATGCATTCTACCTTGTAGACATTTTGAGAAGTTCTCGTGTTCAAATAAGATTTAAAAAAGCTTACCATCTTTGTCGTAATGACTCCAGATCTCCATAAACTGATTGGCCGATAGCTTTTTCAGTTCCCTCGAATCCGGATCCCGGAATTGTCTCATGAAATTCGATGCTCTCTCCAAATTGAATTTCTTGGATGAAGTCGAATCAAAACTCATCGTTATATCTATTTTTTTAATGAATATAAATAACTACTCTTTGAATATTTTGATGTGCAATGTGTATAAATAATTTGGCTTCGATTATTGTCTGTGCGTTTATGTTGGCTATACTTAAGTTACATGTATATTTTTATGTAGGTAATACTGCTCGCTGTTTACATCTGAAACAAAAATAAATATTATCTATGGGTATATGAAATGATACCTTTTTACTTTGCTGAGGTAATATGACTGTCAAATAAATAATACATTCTGTTGATAAAATTACAAGTATGACAAAGGTAGAAAATGAAATAAGTCGGTTTGTTTGTTTCGGCGTTATGAAGCCGTTACAGCTTAATCGTTCGTGAAAAATTATGTTTCTTGGTGCTGACAAGCGTCAGTAATGATACAAATAATAAAGAATGACTACAATATATAGTGTTAGAGAATTTATCGAGGAAGGCTGTAGGCTATAAAACATTACGATGCGATTAATGGGAGCGAAGATCCAGTGGAAAATGTGGCAAAAGCCAGAAAAATTATTCATTCTTAAGGGTTTCTGTTGCGTGTGCTATGAAAACGGTCCAAGCTACGCAAAAATATGGAAAATTAAATAGTCAAATATTATCGAAATTCTTCCTAGACAATAGTTATATAATGTGACCTGGCAATCAACTAGTAAAGAAGCAAAAGTGTATTCATTACTACAAAAAAGTAGACATTGTCCTCTAAACAAAACTTGAAATCAAATAACAAGATGTCAATAAGGCAAGTCCAATTACATCGTTTGTTGAAATGAAAAAACCGTGTTCAGTACCAACAAATTGACATAACGAGTTATTTACGTAAAGACAGCGTGTTCGACCACTTTATTATTTAAATTGAGGCTTTGTTTGAATTTTAAGTTTTCACCGTGACCTATTCAGGGTCGAATCAAGAGCTGATCGATTCGTTATAAATAAACAAGCTAATAATACTGTTAGACCGATTTTGTTTCACGTAGTTCTTTCGGAAGTCACAATTCATAGATTACAATACAAGGTAACGTAGACAAAAGTTTTTACAAAGGAATACACACCCGCGACTTCGCAAAATATATTACGTTGATCACGATGTGTCTGGGCTACAATTTCTATCCGACCTACCTGACCGATAAAAATCGGTCAGATAGGGCAGAGGAGGCTGATGAGACTTCTATGTCTGCTAGACGCTCGTATTACGAGACTTCATTGAGACAGAAAAGTTAAGTCTAATATACGATATCATGACGGGCTGGTTTGATCTAATGGTAGCAATGTATGGGTAAAAATCAACGGGTCCTGGGATCGATTCCCACTAGGTCCAAATGTTTCTAATTTTTCAATGCATAATGTTTTTAAAACATTCTGACTTCGCCCGGAAATCTGGATATTAAGTGGGTGGTAGGAATATAGAAATTCTGTCAAGGTCACGAACCACCGTCCACAGGTGGAAAAAGGCGTGAAGCTTAATCCCGATTCGGTTTTCAAAGCCAAAATAGGACGACATCTTGTTTAGATGCTAGGCTGGGGTTACATAGCTGACACATTTCACCTTCCATCAAGGGAACCCCATGCTTGTCTATCCCCCTCTATCATAAAAAAAAGTCATACCTTATTTTATTTCTCCATATTCACCAATATCAGAATACACATCAAGATAATGTAAGAGCTAATTTATATGGGAAAGGTACAGAGGCCCTGATGTGAAAGTAATTGTGCCTTTATATCTTCAGTCAAAGCCTACATGATAGATCACCTTGATACCGAAGATTTATCCTCATCAATACATTAGCTACAGAGTATACAAGTTATGTTTGTTTGCTTACATGTCTACTCCATAAAAACCTATTTAAAAGTAACGATCTAACAGCACTGCTATACAATATGTAAAAAAAACGAAATTCCAGAATTCTGCCCTTCAGTATATAATATTACATATCATAAATGTTATCATCATCATCTTCACACCTATATTTATTACAATGGACGAGCGTGGTGATAAGTGAGACGATGAGTGACAAAAATGTAAGTTTTGGTTCTAAAGCATGCATCGTCTCTCGCAACAGTTTTTTTCCCGGAGGCTAACAGCTTCAGAATTATAAGTTCTGTTTATTGCTAGTGCTAACATATCATTAAAAATAACGCTACTGTAAATAATCCTGATCGTTTTTTATAAAAGACAAGTGCAGACAAGCATGAGGTCCACTTGTTGGAAGGTGAAATGTGTCAGCTATGTAACATCTAACGAAATGGTCTGTTCATGTATTTGATGTAACCTAAACGCGATGACACTTGATCATTTTAAAGAATGTCCATACTCCTACTTTATTGAACCCTGGAATTAACATAAATAAAACACTTTAACGGTTTAAAACGGGATATATTAGTTAAACTTATTTGAAAAATTATCTTTAACTTCGGCCCGACGTTTCGGATGCTTTGCAGCAGCCGTGGTCACGGGGAGACTAAAGATGGAGGATGTCTCTGACGTCAAAGTAAAAAATTGCTACGTCGGGCCGAAGTTGAAAATCATTTTCAAATAAGTTTAACTAATATATCGCGTTGCAAACCGTTAAAGTGTTTTATTTAAATGTGTACTACTCGCGTAAAGTATAGAGAGTATTTAATTAATATAAAACCAATATTTCTTTAAATCTACTATAATTTGATTTCGAAGTGTAATTTTTGAGTTTTACGTGTCTACTCGTTACCTTTATAGTTTTACTAGAGCGCATAAGTCTTTAGAAATGCGATGAACACAGACATCAGACAGTGCGCCACTGGTCGTTGGTTTGAGTCCAATTTTTTAAATGTACTTATAAATAATTGTAATTGAGTTGATCCCAAGTAAAAATATAAGTTAATAGCAAAATATGTTTCACTCGTCGTGCCATTTACTTCGTAGACTATGCAATATTCATGCAATCAGTAACTACCCGAGCGGTTGCATATTTTAGCATTCGATAAATAACAAATGTCTCTATTTCGCTACGTCTTTTTCCTCCGATACAAAATAATATACATATATAAAATATAACATATATGCACGTTGTCTATTAGTTATAAAGGCTACTCTAGAAAGGTAAAGAAAAGGGTAAGATTGAAATAAAATTTAAAGAAATAAGCAACAACGTAGTAGCGACAATAATTATAATATTGACGGAGAATAACGTTAAGAATCGTTGAAAGTTAGGCCGACACCCAAATATACTAAAGAAATGTATTAAGAAAAATTAGTGACTATTAAAATAAAAAAAAAAAACATGTACAAGATTCTTAAACCTCTGAATAATCTCTTTGATTCAATATTATAACTTTTCTGACTATGCTTCATGGGTTTTCGAGCCATAATTGGGACTGTTTTCGTAACTGAAAATTTGTTCCCGACGTTTCGTCATCACGAGAGAATGAAATCATCAGGTGTTTCGTGAATATCCAAGCTTTGAGAACGGTCGCGACGCAATTTATATGTGTTAATATGGCAATTGTTTATAACCTTGCAAACGTTGCGTAACATTATACAAAGCGTTTACAAGAAACTCCTTAATATAGATAAGTCTAGCGCGGGCGGCGTTTCCTTTTTACGGCTGGGGCGGTTCTTTACGAGTTCACTGGAAGCGGTCTTGTGTAAAAATACGGTCACTTGTACATTTTTATTTTACAACTCTGTTCCTATTATGTCGTGAGCCTTTTTTAATTTGTAGCGATCTGTGAACGGCCCTTGAGACGTAGATATAGACGTAGAATAATTCGGGGAAGGAAACAACGATATTTTATAAGGTAGATACACTATGTATAAGTGCTTTATATTTTTTTCCCTTTGTATTGAACTAATATTATGTTGCAGTGGCGGTCAAAAAAGTTGGTAAAAGGTAAACCGCCTTTGTAGCTAAATAGTTCGACGAGTTGTATTGTGTTAAGCGCGGAGAGGTTCTGAGTTCGAATCCCGGGGAAACAAAAGATTGTTTCGGTCGGGCACAAAAGTGTGATCATAATGTAAATAAAACCGATCTCTGAAACGGGTACAGAATAGTATAGCACGAGAGAAACGAATTTCACTCAATAGGGACCTTTAAAGTATTATACATTGTTACTTCCAAGACAAAGAGAATTATGCATTTCTTTTCCTCAACGCTGAATATTTTCGATACAGTTGTATTGTCTTCTTTGCAGATCGATAAACCTAATCAATCAATCGTCTTCGTGGTACTTATAAAAAATAATCATATAAATAAGTTTATTAACGAACGTAGCTTAGTTAAATAAATATCCACACAGGCGAAAATGCAAAGTTTACATTGCAAAGTCCGATATACACAACACTTCAAATAAAATAAACAGAGCGTAAGATACACGATGCTGCAAAAGAAGAGAAGAGGACTTGAAGAAAAATAGTAAAATTCACTAAAGACCGTAATCATAAATATAGTTTCCAAAATGTCTTTTTGTATAAATGCCCCACAAAAAGGGGTTTTAATTTCAATTTTAATAATATGTGAATTAGAATAACACAGTCTTTAAATAAATAAAACAGTTCATCATTTGTGTTTGGTTTATTTGGTGTGCCGTGCCGTATATTCATTTCAATATTTATTCTGCTGTAAAATTGTTTTATTCTCTAAGCATATTTATTTTAACTGTTTCGTTTGTAATTTGTAACTCGACCGTATATTTCGAGAGGTTTCCCAGTATGTTGGTTAAGTATTTAGTAAACATTCTGTGCCCCGTTCGACCGATTCCGCTGTATTTTGCCCGGGATTCAAAGCCGAATCTTCCAGGTTTTGTAAAGATATAGAATACGTTAAAACAACGAATAAAAGACGCGTTGAAATGTCAAACGGCTTACCATAAAGAACACAGACTTCTTTCGAAACGCTTAGAGACGATATATGAAAGCAATTTTCTTCGAAATCCAATATTTCAGCTGTCTTTACTCATTGGAAAATTTTCCTTTGGCCTCGAAAGCCTTTCACGGCAGATATATTACTTTAAGAA